GAAAAGAAATCCGCGAGAACACCTCCTACACTACTGCAGGGTGCGAGAGAAGGAGGGAGGGAGAAAGGGAGGAGGGTGAAGAGTGATACTACCTTGTCTCATTCTTCCTATGGCTCTGATAGAACGGGGAACGAAATGTCAGATAGGAGTGGAATTCACAAAACATTAAAAAAGGACAATGGGCGACAGATTGAGGCGGGAGATAATAGTTTTATTAGACCTGTTGATACTTCCTTTTTGCTAGTGAAAAACCACACAAAACCTGTTGCTTACACTACATCAGTGGTGTACTTTTTAGTCAGTATCTGCAACGCAATCTTTTCCGAGAGGAAATTAAGATTTCGCGTCTGGTTTATGCATAAATAAGCCAGTTGTGCTCAACTATCAGTAGAAAAGGGGGCTGGGTAATACCACTGGAATAGGTAAATCCGGTAAAGTGGATAACAAAGCAGCCATACATTACATTGTAGTCAACGATGTTCTCCACCAGCATCGCATATCTGGGAGGCTCAAATTTGTTCCCCCATCTCAGCGTATGTTGGATTACATCGAAGTGCTTGTCCAGCGATTTGAAATGGGTCATTCAAATGAGGAAAAGGAACACAACCGCTTAAATACTCCCTACATCCACGAAGTTGACTGTTTTTATCGTGACACAACAAAAAGCGGTAATTTTAATAATCAGAAATGCAGAAACAGCGAAGCCAATGATGTCTTGAAAGAACTTTTGCTTATTAAAGTATTTTGTCCCTTTCAGCTAGCTAATATAACTGTAGACACTGTAATTTCGCTTTTGTCGGCTCTAAAAGGGTTCCCTTTTTTAGTAAAGAATGTCTTGGACGGATACCATTTGAGCCTCCGGTTTTCAGTACCTAAGTGAAGACAAACATGGTAATTATTTACTTAAAAACAAGTATATACCAATTAGAGCATAAATACGTTTAAATACCGGCTATGAAGGTCTCTCATGTCCGCTAGGAAATTAAACCTTGAAGGTCCGATTTTTAACTCCAAACCATTACGTGGCAGCGATGGATCCGATGAAACCAGATAAACGCACTTCAAGCAGACTGCGAAATCAGAAATCTCTTAAAAACGAGTGCAGAAGAGCAAAGATTCGGGAGTCACTCTTGATATTTAAAAAGTGAACAAAATGAATGAACCACAAAAGCTGAAGCAGTATGAAAGTGGACACCGATTGACCATACAAGTGAACGGCTATTCAGAATGGGGGAAGTTTGGTTTAGAGAACCTTCATGATTCACTAACGTCACCAAATCCACGCTTTTTATTGGATAAAAAAACATCAAAAGGCGAAAAGTGGAAAATTTTTGCACTGCTGTTTTTTGTTAACAAGATGAAAGGTGAGAAAGGAAGTATTACATGGAGTATTAAGTGTTAGCAAAGTACAAGCAGAGGACTTTTGTAACACTTTCTGGGAATAAGTTACTCAATGGTGACTAATCTGTGCACAATCAATCCCTATGATGAGCGATCACAAGCCGACTTGTTGAAATCATTTATGAGAAAAAATAGCTTTTCGGAAAAAAAATGGCAGAGCTTGCGAAAAAATCCAGCCAATCCTAAAATCAGCTATTGAAAGATATAAGGCCTCATATGTAAAAAATTATCTACTTCTGTCTCAACTTAACCCAAGATCCCGACGTAGTTGTTCTACCGGCACACCTGATAAAGTTATGGAAGTTTAGTGACCTTTATGATGTGTTAGTACTGAGAATAGGCATAGTGTGACCTCTAGCACAGCCCCAATGAGAATATGGATGAGTTTCAGTGAGAAATAGTGTATGCTGTCTAAACTCTCTCAAAACATTTTCATAGTAAAAGTCTGATATTAGTGAGGTTGAATTCATTTGTATCAAATGAAACTAAACGAAAAAGATTTGTCTTAAAAGAGGCTCCTTGGGTCTTAGTGAATAAACTTTAAAATCGGAAGAGTTATAACAAATCTTAAAAAACTAGAGGATGGCCAACATAGATGACAAGGAGATAAAACAGGCAAAAAGAAGAGACAGATCCAACTCACTTCTTCATTGGGGCGTCCCTTATAGAAGGAGGCAAATCCATTTGATTGGATGAATTTCATCCACTTGTCCACCCGTCTGACATCTTTTTTCCGGTACTGAAAGATGGGAAGAAGAGAGGGAAAAAAGGGGAAAAAATATCTACTCATCTATAGATAAAACAAAAATTTCATGTTCGTCGACGGGTCTTACCATTTCTCAAACCTTGGAGACAAAAAAGTGAGTGAACAGACTAACCAGCGAGCAACTGCGCACAGGGCAAAAATGCTCAGAGGAGGCTACGCGACCAATCACAGAGAGAACCTGGATGCGTCTCAGTCAGGCGCGCACATTTTGGTTTGGTGGCGTGATTAAATTACCCCCATGAGGAGAGGAATTGCGACAGTGGTAAAATCGAGGATGTCGAGAAAAAAAACTTAGACCTTTTACCAGTTAAGATCGAAAAGTCAACTTGATGAAACTATAGTGTTCGCAAACACGATCACGTGTGCCTAATATACCTCCTAAAGTGAGGATATGGTCATGTGCGAGGGTGAAGATCTCATAAACAAAGTAACACAATGGTATTACTCCTCTACTTTCATCTACAAAATATGCTATACTTCTGGTCATGTCTTTGATATATTTTTTTGTACACAAGGTGCATAAACTGATGGAAAAATAGGGTAGAACACATGTACAACAAACCTTGTGTTCCACCTCCTTCTCTCTATGTGTAAGGCCTTCAGGGCTGCAAAGTGAAAACAAGTTTGCATCGGGAATAAATCTCGTTAAAAGAGATTAAATACGCTGTACACATCCTCATTAAACTTGAAAATAAGAAAGGAGTTTAGTGTATTAGTTACTCTACAGCAGATACAGCAAAAAAAATGCAAAAGACATGGTGCTTAATGTCCATCGAATTAGGAAAAAAGACCAAACATTCTAAAATTAAAACAGGCAACATACGAATACAGAATGTTTAAGAAACAATACAAAAATATTGTCCAGCCAAAAAGTTAAATTTTCAACACAATGAACCAACAAAGCAAATCAAATGCATAATCTCAGTAAATTACTGATAAAATCCAAAATAATCCAAGATGGAATAGTTGGCCTGGGCCTCTTGAACATCAAAATGCGTTGTTAGATCGCAGTGACTCTTGCTGAGGTTGTATTTGTCAATAATCCTCTTGGTAGGAGTAGATGATTTCAAGGATCCTGGCATTATTTACCCCATATGTGCGGATAAAGGTGCCCTAGTTTATCTTGTTTGCAAATATATCGCCAGCCCACCAAATTCAAAAAAACCGGGCGTTTTTGGCCACTTAAACAACATATTGCTGCGGGGGATTATTTTCGTTAAAATTCTTCAGACAAGTCAACTTGTAAGTCCTTAGCTCTGCAAATTTGTTCTGCTGTGTGACTTTGTCAGCTGCTAAAAATAAGACGGTATAAGACGAAATTTATTCTGAGTGAAATATAATCTGTTGGATGCTTAGCGATGTTTGCAACATCAATAAGCTGCCTTGTTGTAGCCTATTATGTAATGCGATAGTGGTTTATCCCTCGGTTTTGGCGAGGCGCCACTTTTGTACTTGGAATTAGCCCCCTTGTACCTCGCTGGGTGGGCTGGTGTTTTGGGCCATGCCAGTAGCCCAGGCACCTTCTCCGTGCTAAATATATGTATTCTGCACGAGTATTGTGTCTTCTTTCATTTTCAGGGAGTCTTGGGACGCTACAATTAACTACATAATAAAATTACAGAGTGTAATTTTTGAGTGCATTGCATGTCTAATTGAACGGTGAAATAATCCCGAATATTTTTAATAAAATAAGGTGTATTTTCATTACTTGTGTAACTCGTAGTATTTTTCATCTCCTAATACTTACTTGCCGCAACTTGATTCTCAAAATGTAAAACTTTATAATGTTGCAATCACAGTTTTATACTTAGTACAAAATTACTACATCCAATGTGATTGATGTTTTCCCTGTGTGCACTATTTTGTAGCGTCACATGTCTTCGCTGTGGTAGTCAAAAGCAAAGAAGAAGAGAAAAGCTGTCACTAAACCACATAAGGGTTGGGAGGATAAAAACATGGTTTGAAATTTATGCAGTGACAGAGATATGCATCATGAGTATCCGCAACTATTCGAGTAGCTAAAAACACGAGTTAACCGAGCATCAAAATACTAAGGTGTCATGTTGATACAGTGACAGCTCACCTAATGATTAGTTTATCCTTGGTAATATAAATGACTTGTTTTATTTTTGTTGTATCACCCTCTTACGTCCAGATTATGGCCCTTGCCTTGAGGGGATCTGTTAGAGGAGGTCATCGTATATCGTGGTAATTTGAGGATTTATAAACAACCAGTGTCTTGGAGACTCGGAATTTATTACCTCCACAAAAATTGAATTGCGTCTCTTTGGTTGCCTCCTAAAAGCAGTAGTAAAACCAACATACTACACCTTGTAATACTTGGATATTTTGGTTTGCATTGTGTTTTGGTGGCGGGGGCGCTTAAGGCTTCATTATTGTACTTCCTTTCAACGCACTGCCTATAGAACACGTGTATTCCAATCGTTATTTAATCACTCTTTGATTAAGGATTCAATCGTTATTTCCACCGGTTTTGTAAATCTCGTAACCGATTCCGCAGGCACGTTAAAATTCAAACACCACCAAAAACTTTTAAAAGCTAGGCTCTTTTCTACTTCGATGAAACGGGGAATCAAAATCTAAATAAAAGGCTACAATTTCTTTTTTTTGAATCAAAAACCATCTCATATCACCCGATTTCCAGTTCTGGCCCCAGCACGCGTATGTTCACAGTTTATGTTGCCGCTAGCAACAACCACATAACAACAGAGCAATTGTCGAATTGCATTAGCATATGCGGTAGATAACAGTGGGTCGGTGCAATCACAGTTTTGCCAGACACCGTAACAAAGAGGGCTAGGAGCGCTAAGACATGGGAGCCGAACTCTCGAAGCGTAAGCACAAGTATCGCAAGGGTAAGTGGGTGGACAAGGAGACGTGGACGGGACAAAATGGCGAGGGGCTGGAGCCAGAGGCAGGTTTGAAGATGGTCGACAAGGAGAATCAATGCGTGCTTCAGTGGATTCAAAGCATCACATCTCAGGGTTAGTTGCATTAGTACTCCCATTTTCCCCCTGACAAAAAAGCGAGGAGACACATCTCTCACAGTCCGCGGCTTTCTTAAATTTCTTTAGGACCGAAAGGTACACCCCATGTCAGTTAATTAATCTGTGCTGTAGATTTAGTTCACTCCGTTGTCAAATGTCATTCGTGCTAACTGTCAAAGGCAGGTTCTTTTTTCAGAAGCACAATCTATGCTTCCATTGACTCTACTAGTACTTGACAGGCATCGGCGTACCATTCTCACCTTGACTCAGGCAAATTGAGGAATTTCTGTTCCTAAACTCAGTTTTTCCGATTGCCGAAGTATCAATTCCTCTGACAGGAGTAGCCTTGTGGTAGAATAGTGATGTTTTACCCCAGGACAAAGGCGCAGTCAGATTAGAACAAGTTGGAAAGGCACCTTATTCCGCCTCTAGGGAAATCACCACCCCTATCTGCGCTGCTAGAGCCTTCCATCAAGTACTGGGACTGTTTGCTTGATTGCAAACTCTAAAATATGTCACCCTAAATAGGCAATCAGTGGTTCCTCAGAGTACTGGCAACTGTCATCGTTTTGAGACTCCTTTGGAATCTAAAAAGCAAACAAATGGTCTCCTTTTGCAATATTTCTCCATCTAGCTAGTTCTTTTCGACGTTCCTTGCCATTTGTCATTTGATTGGCTATCAAGGAGTAGTTAAGTAGTAATTACATTGTACTACTTTCATTAAAATTATTAGTGTACTTTTTTCCCTAGAATTTTGAACATAAAGCAAGACATTTAAGTATTTTTTACCTTTTAAATAAAGTTTTAGGTCTAGAGTTACCATTTAAGTACGTAGTTAGCTTCCTTGCCTGTTCGCTCCAGGGTTTGCTTATTTCTTACTGGAAACAAAGACTAACTTCCATACATTTACCTTTCCTTATTCGGAAATGTTCCAAAAAAAGAGTATTTTATAAACAAGTACGCAGACTAGGGGGAACATACCATGTAGCCCCCTAAGTCCCACGATAGTGGCTGGGACTAAAGAGTCTGTGCATTTAAGCAAGACTCCACAGGAGGCTATCAAAAATGACAAACTGAATTTTAAAGTACTTCTTGGATGCGGCTCTTGGAGCCTCGTCTGGAAGAGGTGTTTTTATGTCCTACTGCTTGAGTTCGGTATATTCCTTAGAGAAGGCATATTGAAAAGTTCGCAAGTGCCACTGATTCGTCTAAAACTACCATGCGAAGCTATAAGCGGTCTTCTTAAATCTGAAAACTTATTATAGAATTAATGTAATGAATCTGTAAATTAAGCGAAAATATTGCAGGGATATTTACATCATGAGAGGTCTCCGATAGGGATCGAGTAATCAGTTGATCTGCTAGTTACTTCGCAGTTCAGTGACGTATTTGATTGTTACAAAAAAAATTATTTTAAACACTTTCATTAGTCCACCTCACTCCCCAACCTGAGGGTACACAATATGGAAGGGGCGCATCTTTTATTGCGCCTTTCCCTGTCAGACCCTTTTATTCCCAACCCTTCCCCTCGATTGTATTCAGACATTAATAACCTGGAAATTAGCCACGACATCAAGGGCGATCATGTTGGACCTGTGCCAAGCTCCAAGTGCCAGTGACATATGGTATCCCATGGCAAAAAATCGATGTTGGTCGATGATCGCGTGATAGCCAATGATTTTCGTTTATGCCATTCGAATTTGAGGACGGATCGAAAATTAGCGGAGAGACCGAAATTCGCCCGATCGGCGCTCCATTTGATGTACTTCCGTGCTCCAGCGGAGAACTTTATTACAATTTGTCAGTGTGGAGGAAGCTTAAATGTAGAATTACGGAATGGCTAGTGAGATGTGAGGGGATCCGAGATCCGCATGCTGATTGGAGCTTCCACTATGCTAAGAATACAAAAGTGAAAATAATGCTAATTCTTGGCATTAAGAATACTCCGCCATCTGGTCTAACTTCGAGTTCGAGGAGAAGGAGTGGCTGTCCCTTCAAACAGATAGTTATAACCAGTCAAGAGTGGGAACAGTGTAAACGACCTTTTTTACTGTTTTGTCTAGGTATCTGCCTTTCTTCATTGTCTTCTGGTTAGAAAGAAAAGGGATTAATCTATCATCTCTAAGTAATTATCCGTTCAGTCTCTACTTTGCTTACAGTTTATGCATTTTTACTTTCCAGAAGTCCCTACTTCTGTTACATATCATTGTCTTCCTTTCTCCTTCTATTTACGACTTCCTGGATTAAAACACGATTGATAGTGGAAGCCTAATGTTTTTAAGAAGGAAAAGCAAAAATATAGCTTGACCGAACGTCAAATATATTGTTCAGCATAAGTATAAGTATCACCTTGGTAGCTAGAAACAAAAGACTATATATGGGCATTTAATCCTATTCAGTGAAAGAAAACTTTGGTACTCCAAACTAGTGGGTTCCGCCAAGGACAAATTCAAATAGCCAAGAAAGCCAACTCACACCTTTAAAGTAAGTTAGGAAGGAGGGGTCTGCAACCTTCTACTTTACCAGACAAGAAGGGTGATTTGCACGCCATTTGATGCTTTGAGCTTTTACCTCATCTATCTTCAGATAACTCAGATGGTGAAATTCTATGCTTGGGAGTTTACTTCTTGCGGTAAAGTTTCTTTTGTTTTTGTCAGACCGGGTCAATATATTGACCGTAAATTAAAAATGTAGATGTTAAATACTTTAAGCGATGCCATTCAATCCAATTCGTCTTGAGGCCGCGAAAAGTAACGGATTGCCGTAGCGATTTCCCCTTGAACTCCCTCTTCCCCCAATATTCTTATCCTGTAGTGGGTAAGTACTCGCCTTGTGGTAGAGTCTGAGACTTTTCTAAAGTTGGAAGTAGACGCGCAATAGGGCTTGGGGCCACTGGCATGACCAGGATGCCAGCTCACCCGAAAAAGGTAAGATGGGAGGGCACCTGAGTGGCCCTCCTCCATAAAAACCGCGAGTTTGAAAACCGTCTATGGTATTACATGACTTATGCCAAAGCAATGTGAAGATTGATAAACTGCGAATCCACAAACTGGAATAAGTTGGAATTGCCAACGCAGATTAGAGACAAAATTAAAATCTGCGTCACTTCCCCCATAATTAACATTAAGAAATTAAGATCGGGCGAAAAATTTATTTACCTTCAACTAAGACCTCTAAGCAGTTTTTTTTATAACACTGCCCTCCTAATCATTTAAGATTCAAGATTCTTGCATTTGAAACTTTGAGGAAAAATAGCCCCCATCAATCATTTACCTAAATAAAAATGTCCTTTTTTAATTAACTTGGTTTTAAATGCAGTGGATGTTTAAGCTACCTGGAAGCCAAACGTTCGCATATTTCATGTCAAAATAACTGCTCTCCTCGAAATAATGAAGTACTTCTAAATAACCGCCTATGACAAGCATAAATTTAATTACGGGGAAGTATATTCCGTCAGTGCACTCACTACATTTTCTTTACTGTGGCTTGTTCCTTTTTTCATGGCTCTATTAATTGCTGGGTTTATTTGAGAATATAAGGCGCCTCAGTAATCGTGAAGTTTTTAGATAATCATAGGCTTATTCTAATAACCTCTCTTTCCTCTCTTCTAAAATTGGATCAGAGTGGTAATTTTTTTTTCTTTGGCCATGAATGGGAATGTCTCCTTACATGCGACCCACATGGAAGCCACCATGCACCGACTTTTTTTATAAATAGGGGTTATTTACTGACCGTATTATCCACTATTGGTGGTAGTGTCCAGATTTTATTCAACCGCTGATTTCTACTTAATAAAGTATAGGTAAAAACATTGTTTTGCTCCTAGAAGAACGCACAACCCTGGATGATAGACCTTCGAAACGGCCACAATCAGAGATTTGCATGCGCCAATTCAATCAATCCCTTGAGGCTCTAGCAGGCAAAGTTGACCTAAGCTGTTGTGACTGGCTGCACCGAATCGGTCTGCAGCAGCCCGAACCGAAGCCTCCACCTGCTTTGGATCAATCGGACGAGGTAAAGGAGGCCAGTTTAGGGGGCTCTACGCCGGAAATAAGTAGTCTAAGTGCCGACAAGGAGGGAGATTTTGAAGTTGAGGTTGTCGAAAAAATATCCTTGGGGTGTATACCGGAAGCCGGACCGGTACCTGAAGGGATAAAGAGACTGACAGAACAGGAGGAAAAAGGGAACGAAAAGGGGACCGACGGAACAGAGCAGAATGAAGTGGTAGACATCCTCATTGCTGTTGCAGAGGATGAATCGGATAGGAAAATAAGTCATAAGGCATCTTCGATTGCGAGGCTAAAGGCTGCCATTATGGAGCACACAGTGAAGCCAAAACCAAAGAGGCGACGTCCTATGTAGGAGGATTTGTTTGTGTATTTCTTCTCCTAAAGTTACTTGTTACGATACTTTCCCCCCTTCTGTGGATTTTCAGAATGACGAGCAAATGTTAAAAATGGCATGAATCATATCTGGTCATAGGTTTTTGTGGGTTATTTTGTTCCGAACTAAAGTCATGTGGACTGACAATTTAATAAGACGGGCACAATTGTGCCTAGGATCTGGCGCCAATTAAAACAGGGGATATTTATGATATCTCTTTTAGCAGCACAAAACAAAGTCGAAAATAAGCAAAAAATCATAAATTTTTTGATTTGTTTTGAACAGCTGTCTAGTTACGCAATGTTTTTCGTATATACTTAAGCTTTTTCGAAATATTTAAATATGCGGCAAAAATTAGTAAAGTTACATAGAAAACCAATTTAAGCGGAAGTTTGCAAGCAAAAATTGAACTGTGAGTTAAAGAACCGTTGGGCAAAAATTTCGCTTCTCTGCATGAACTTCGAATAATCATCCGTGAATGTATTGCGATGTAAACTATTGTTTGTGCTCTTGTTCAAAATAATGCGTAAAAGTACCTGTAAAGAAGGCTTGCATTCACTCTTACCACAATCCGAGCAGTCAAGCATTAAAGTCGTTGTGCCTTTTCTCTGAATTATCACATTTTTCAACTAACAGAGGTAAAGCCGTAAAACTATTTTGTTGTCTAGCTAAATATCATAATCATATTCTAAATGAATTAAACGTATTGAGTATTTTTCGGAACAAAAATGGGTTTTTCACACGACTACCTAGTCCAAATAATAAAATTGCATTGAGAAGCAAGTGATTTAACAGATTTGTGGCATTTTGGGCATGGCTCATCGGATTGACAAGTTGAAACATGAGAAGTTTTAGTGGGTACTTAAGGAAGTTTTTGGACTTGTCCCCCTTACGAAATAAGTGCTACCCATTCCTCATTTAGCATAAGGTTTATGTACAATTCTATTGTGTAGAGCTTGGAGAACATGTAACATGTAGCAACAGAGAAATGGGGCATCAAGTTAAGAAAGGTTATTTAATCAAATTTTTACCTCTTTCTAAAAAGCACCACACTTGTAATGGAAGTGGCCTTTACATTTTATTTCGTTCATCCAACATACTTAATTACCTTGCGGTCGTCACTACCTTCTGTGTCTGTTCGGTGGGCTACAGAAGCAATCGCCTGGATGCTGAAGTCCAAACAATTAGGGTGGATATCTCTTCACCAGTTAGAATTTGGCGCAATTGCTACTTGAGAACCATGTAGCATTAATGAATGAGTTAAGAGAAAATAAGATGCTTTCTAGGCAACTCCAGACTCCACTTCTCACTACTCTAACGGCAAATCAAACCCAAGTGAACACCCCCCAACACCTCTATTTGATATGCGGAGGAGGACAGGGAAAAGGAAAGGGATGGACAGTATCTCATCCCGCCCCCGTTCTCGTTTTCTGCATCTCCCAACTCCCTTCTCCGAGGCCTAGAAATCTATAGACCCCATACGTTAGAAAATTAAATGGTCACGTGCAATGTAGAGAAGACCGTTAAAAGGTAAATTCGGTACGAAATTGATAGTGTTTTTAAATCTATGATTTTTGCTTTTAAGGGCAAAGGGTTATTTGAAATTGAGTGTCATACTACGTTTTCTTTTACGGCGGTAGAGGCATACACATGCGGTAGTCTCAGAGGTCTCTTTCAGTTTTCCGTTTTTTCACAATGAAATACGCGAATATTTTTGTCACCTAATGTGTGAGTATTAATTTATAAGTAATTGGCCTTAAGCCTTGGCCATAACAAGTCTGATTCTAGCTGGGAATCAAACCGTGAGGTAGAATTAATGATATGATGTTTGCTCATTGGAGAAAGTATGTCCCCTATTTGTGGCTGGAGAGACCATGGCTTTGGTCCGAACACTTGAAAATCGGGTCCTCTGCAAGGTTGGTGTTGGAGGATAGACAATAACTTAGACCGCTGCCTTGGAGGCGAATACGATAGGCCCTGATTTGAGGTCTATGTAGGTTTTGTTGGTTCTTGGTCTTGCACGTCTCTCGGGCATTCTGTGGAGTTTGGACTCAAGAGATTGCCACAAAGGTGTGCCGTCTTAATCCCTTTGTGCAAGCCATAGCGTATTTAACCATTCCAGAGGTAAGGTTTGGTCGCCGACCAGCAAGGGCTGAACTATATTTGATTGGGATTGGGTGCGCATACCGTTACCTTCAGTAAACACCCCCACCCATCTCCAAAGATGTGACAGAACCTACTTATGGGGCGAAATTATTAGTTATTTGCTTAAAGAAGAAGCGAGAGGCTGTAGGCCTGGATAGGTGACCCTATCCCCTATTAATGGCCCAATCCGAAGGCTCCACGCAGTCAGAGAGATTATTAAAGCAAACACCACCCTCCTTCATATTACACACGAAGATGTTATTTTCAGAAATAATATCTGATGTATTTACAATAACTAACGTATAGCTTTCGCACCAGAAACCTTCAAACCACCCACTCTTCCGTCTTCTAATAGCTTCAAGCCTGTATGGAAATTAATTCTTAGAAGGCTTTCTCAGGTCGTTAGCGTTTCTACAAGACATTGGATGATTAGAAACTTCTTCCCACGAAAAATGTCGAAACAGTGAAACTGAAGGTTCTTCTATCCATTTTATGCAATTAATAGCCGTTAGACTTTTACGGATGCGCCGATGCTGGACTGTCAGAGGTCAAATTGGCGCATTTTTTGAGTAAAATCTACGCATTTGGACTTTTCCGGTGGGAAAGTCGGTAGAGTATAAGTAGCCCTCACTCATCTCACAATTTCAATAACTCAGGAAGGTAAAAACAGGATAATCCAGCTTCGAACGCAATGACCTGCTGTGGTGGATACTGGAACGGGTAGGTCGGCAGTACTTGTCGCATGGATTGCACCTATATTTTTACTTTGCCTTTAACCCGTTCCGCATCTATTGGCTTGATGTTTTTACAAACAAAGTGATTAAAAACTAAATACGTGGGAAAATGAGAAAATGAGGATTGATTTAAGGTCATAGTTTTCTGCATCATGTTCCACCGTAGTTAAACCTTTGCGTTTGATTCAATGACCTTCTAAATGGCGACTAGACGTTTGCCCTGTCGCTTTGCCTGTCTCACTCACACCTTGACCGACAATACAGACCACCTGACAGTCTCGTTGCCAGGTGTAAGTTTTTTAGTCCAAGGGAAGAAAGAGTTCAAAAAGTCGGAAGACGTTTGATTCTCATAACTTAGAAGGAGGTGAATTAAATGTACGCCCGAGCTCAAGCTGAAGACGGTTGATTTTAACAGCCTTTTCCCCTCTTTTGCAGCTGTCCTTGTATCTGCTGTGGACCCTCTTGTGGCTGCTTCGATCACAACTGGTGCGGTTGTGGTGGTTGCTGCTGTGGCAGTTGCCACCACGGTTGTTGTGGTGGCGGTTGCTGTGGCTGCAATTGTGGTCACTGCTGTTTCTAGGTCAGAAGTGCCCATCCCTTTACCTTGTAGCAAAAAATACAAGTTTAGACTTCTCTGCTTATTCCTACCTTCCAGAGTCAGAAGTAGGGTATGACTTCAGCCTAACCACTTGTCAAGTTAGCTGTCAGATTAGTTAGTAAGCTAAATGATCTGACAGAAAATATATGGGACTAGAAAGGTTTCAAGGATTAAAGAGACAAACTAACAGAAATCTACCCACTTAAACATATTTTGCCATTATGGCTGCCTTTCCTGTCTCCCGCTGACCTGCCCCCACCCCGGTGGTGCGACGTCCCGTTTACGCCACATATACACCGGAGGTGACTCCTCGGGCACCTCAAAGCGACTTCGAGGATAAACAAATTGGGGCGAAGATAGTGACAATGCTCAAAGGAGGTATAATGAGCTAGTCAACGAGAGGCCAATGGGTTTTTGGCCCTTCATTGTTAGTAGAGAAGATTAGTAAATTAACAACTTTTTACTCAAAAGACAGTGTTGTTAAGGCGTTCGAGATAATTAACCACCCGCTAGGCCCCAAATCTCAGTCGTACATGTATTCTTCAAGTATCTCCTCCGGAGTAGGTTCTGCAACACACAAAAAGACAAACTGAATGACCCTACGACTAGTTCCTCGCGGCATAGGCTCTTTGATAATCTACTTTGATGAAGAAAGATAACCTATCAAATATCAGAATGACACTATACCTGAAGGCCATAAAATTGTCAATCTAGGCTTCGATACCACAAATACATCGCCAACTTTGCTGAATACAAATTACAATTTAACTTCCACAATCTGAGTGGTAAAAGAACCTTTCCCGTACGCTTACATTTGAGCGGTGAACTTTGACCTCATCTCACCTCACTCGGAGTGGTTATCCGTCAGTGAGTTCCACTCTGACCTCTTGCTACTCTGGCCTAACCAAGGGCTTGGGAGCGAATAAAGCACTTAAGTAATCTTACAGGCACCTGAGAAGAGCAATTGTTTTATTAAAAACTATAGCTAGACGGTGAAGATTCTGCCTTTCCATCGGTGGCAGGGAGATAACCCATGGTGCCACCTTTGCCTCCAGTCTCCCATTTCCATGTACTAACTGTAAGCCTAGTTCCAGAACTCCGTACTCTATGACCTTTCTCAGAGTAACTTAGGCAGTAAAAATACAGAAGGTGGAAGAGCTTACCGTGTCGGGGTTTTCCCCTCTTCTGCAAATATTCATACAATTTGGAGGAGAGAAATCGCTTGGGTGGATGTGGAACGCGAGATGCTGTTTGGGCAGCTAGAATCTCCCTCGCTTTCGGCAACATCTCTAGGGCTTGATGAATATTGGAAGGACGTTGACGAAGCATAATTTTGGCTAAATTATGTCCTAGTGCATTTATAAATGCCTCCAGAGCCGTTTCCTGAATGAGTGTCTCCTTATCACTTCGATTAAATATCTCCACTGTCATACTATAAATTTCCGCAGCCAGATCTTTGGCAGAGACAGTGTTGTCGAGACGTTTAGAGAAAAGATTCCATACGGTAGGATTTCGTCCCTCAAATCGAAATATTTCGATTAGCTTGACAAAGACGGTGTCGAAACTGGCGCTGACATCTAATCCGGCCGCTATAGCGTAAGTACGAGCGTCGTCAGAGAGGGCATTTACTAGCTCCTTCACTGGTTTCTTAACGCCCGGATGTAAAAGACGATTTTTAGCATAAAATAGCCATTCCACGATTTTCTGGCCTCGATTATAGCGACTGATGGGAATCCTTACACCTTCGAGAGTTTCGATTAGATTGAAAGAGCCAAAAACCTCCTCGCTCCTTTCTGTGGTCCTTACTTTATCCATTCGAAACCAACTACTAATCAAGAAGGTGAACTCGTTTAAAAATGCGCTTTACTTGAACTTAATTCGACAGATGAGCAAAATAAAAGAATAAAACATCTACATCAATGTGCGTAACTGGGCATATATAAGCTACTGAAATACGGTTTCATTACTCCCTTATTACTCGTTAATAAATTTTTTCTCTGAATTCATTCAAATCATTTGTATAAATTGGAAAAACATGCTTCAGGCTACATAATATGGCGGTCTGAGTTATTCCTGAAGACAAAAGACGTCAGGTAATAAGACAGAAATGTATTAACGACGTATAGAAGGACTGAGATGCTACCGATGTGGCATAAAGCAATGTCCATGCCCTTCGGTTTTCGCGTAACCAAGAAGAAGAGTTAAGCAAACAGCCAAAGTGTTACATTAATTTCTTCTGATTTTTTCGATTTTCGTGGTGTTTCGCTTAAAATATTGGAGGTAAAAGTTCACGTAAATATACACAAGTAAGGCAGGTGTTCGCTAAACGTTTGACCACTCCTTCGTAAGGGTTGTTCTGAGCCTCCCTGATTCCCCTCCCCCACCACCCGGATTAGTCATACACCTGCTACAGTTGTTACGGCTTCGTCTGTGATGAATTTGCTACTTTATTTGTGGCACCACGTAGTGTCGATTTAGTTGAGGCTCCTGCGCGGTGCATCCTCTGCAAGGGCAGCAGCATTTGGGTGATTATTCAACTCGGCTTAAATAACTCTTCCTTTGTGATTGTTCCGAGATCAGGCTATATTCGACAAATGTCTTCCTTCTGCATGCAATCAGCGAAAACTGACCTATTCTTCTTAAGTGATTTTGTTTAATACTATCCATATTGCAGAAAATCGTGTCTTTCCGGCTGGCGTACCGGTATGCAAGAAGGTGGACTAGGTCCTCAAAGGAGAGCCAGGAGTCTATTAGTAAGACCGAGATGCTGTGTTGCTAAAAGTTAACAAATGGTGTCAGGTGATTTAATGGTCCTGAAGAGGACTTTTGTGCTATTTAGAAAAAACTGCTCAAATAGCGCCATAGCTCAAGGCAAACCCCTCATGATATTTCGACCACTTTTCTGAATTTTTTTTCTTGAAAATTTAAAATAGCCCCAAGAAAGTTAAGATAGAACGGCAACTTCACCTTATCTTCCATGTTTGCAAGCTGGATAGCATTAATGCAAACAACTCCTTAGTTGAAACACCAAAGCTCTGTAAATTACAAGGGACTTATTTGTATTGGTGTTAAAGCTTGTTATCTATAGCCTAAAGGATGTGTTCTAAATCTTACAGACAAGGATTTAGATTTGTGTAGCCAAGGTTAAGTAGTTCAAGTTATTATGGTAACCTACAGATTAAAACAAACAATTCTTTGCTATAATTTATTTAACTGCTAAAACGGCTGTAAAATTTTTATAACAATATTTGCCTTTAGCATAAATTTGCTTTTTGATCATTAAATGAGGCAATCAAAATTCGGATCGAAAATAAACTGGCTGATGCAAGCAACTATACTGTTAGAAAGTATTCCTGAAAATTCTTTTATTTTTTACTTTACCTTTGTATCTAACAGCTTAATCTTTTTAGCCCTTACAGATTTTTGCACCAATTATGGTGTAGCTATCCCATCAAGATTGTGTCTACCGGTCCTTCTCTTTGTTAAGAATAAACGATTCTTTAACGCCAGTACGACTTATCACATCTTTAGGGAAGACTCTAAATCTGTTAACTCTAATGTGGATTGATGCTTCTGCTACTCGTTTAAATCAAAGGTGGGAATGTGATTGCAAAAATTAAATTTAATACTCGATCCAAGTTTTTGATGACCCTACTTGCGAACCGATTTCGTTAAGTAGAGGGTAATTAGGGCTACAGATATAGTCGAATACCTAATTATAAATAGTATGACTGCTGTAGTGTTTCAAGTCTTCCCTGAGGCCCGAAGACATCATAATATTTTGACGGATGATGTGTTACTAATATATAGAGGAGCTGAGTCTCCTGCCATAGACCGTAGGCAGTGCCAATGATAGGAAGCACAATCTGCGGAGACTTAAGTGCTTCCATAGTCAAGTAAACTATCAAAGCATTGCTACGTCAGCTACATATCAGAAAATCCAATTCATGGGAGTTGAGCATAATTTATAATCAAATTATCTTATGCAATTCGACGACGGATATTTTCACCCTTTTGTAAGTTCATTTACAGGCAATAAGAAATTGACTTGATGGTGTTTAATTAATCGAAGTATTCGAGTTACAATGGAAGAAACCGCAAAACATATTATTTCTTATGAGCCTTGACAGTAGCACGAGTAGTTTTTTAAGTCTAAAGTAATTACGTTAGTTGTTGTCAGTTCGTATTATAAAATTAAATTAATTATTAAAGTGTGATTAAAACATTTTTCTAAATAAATTAATTACTGCTGCAATATGCTATCCGCAATTCTTTCTCAACAAGACAAAACTTGTCTTGAGTTCTACTCCTATACGAGAAATTATCTTTACGAGTCAAAAAACATTCCCACCCATTTCCCTTTCTGTCTTAACTTTATGTCTTAAATATCTCATCTATTTCGCAAGTGATCATTTGATTGTCAAATGCTAATGCGAAGAGGAGGAGCCGCTAACCCAGGGAAATATGAGTGGAGTAATAAAAGAATGAGGATGGGAATGATGTAAGATGGCACCTTCCTCCCTCACTCTCCTCCTCCACCACACTTCAATGTGGTGTAGCAAGAGTTTTTGGATTTGTTTTGCTGTCAGCGAAGCGAAATGTAAGGTCTTGTATTGCCTTTTAAGCAGAAAGCTCTCGTCCTACTGCCTGCTTCTCAAGAGGCAGTTGCATTAAGTTGTAACTGTTGGACAGACATCCATTTCGATTATTTTAGCTTTGCTGGGTGAACAACAAAGTCTTCAGTCCACCAAACACACACACAGAAGATAAAGACAGTCATGTGGGGATGAAGTGGTGTGTGTGATCAAGATATGGGGGTTGCATAAGTCGTACTGGCCTAATCAATGATACATATGTGTGCTCATTTAGGGAATGTTGAAACAGAATACAAAAGCCACTGCTTACCGTAAGTCAGTCCTCAAAAAATCTCTAAAAAACGCTAATCTCGATCACTGGCGTCTTCATCTTTCGTATGATCAACAATAGAGGGTCTTTCTAATAAGTGTACTGCCGCTGCTTTTGAATGAAGCATCGCCACGATCACATTAGCAATCCAAACCCCTCAGCTCTGGGTGGTGCGTTGTTTTACTAGTGCACTCCACTTTTTGCTCATACGCTTGGAAACAACTTTTACTAGAGGCTCCTGCATCCTTGGAGCCACTTCACCACATATCATTCATTGGGCCCAACGGACATTTTGTGATGCAAATGCACAAAAGAAGGAAATAATTACAATAAGCAGTACTCTATGCTTTTGAATGCAGGCTTATAAACGAGTGGGTGCATCGCGGATAAAAAATGATGAAATTAAAGGAGCTCTTATTTTGCTGCAGGAAAACTTAGGAACCCTTTCTCCAAAGAAACTTTTCTGTTCTCCGAAATATCAATAAGTCATAGTACTATGTAAGAACACATACTACTAACATGGAAGAAGTAGAGAGGTATTAGAGTGACCTGAGGACGTACGGCCCGTAAAGATTCAAGGACATCAGTAGTTTCAGAAATTGCTGTGATTTTACGCCATAATGACGGCTGTTTGCATTATTGTTCTAAGCATTAGAGGAGAATGCGTGGAAGGCCTTCATGATCCGTAGGAATCTCACTGGCCAGCAAATAGTAGTTCTTTAGTTACTTATTTAAGAGATTGTTAAAATGTCTGTCCAGCATTATGGAGCTCTAATTGGATCACAAGCAAGTCTGAATAAACCTAGAGGAGAATTGGCACCTATCGTGAAAATGTTCTGTTTTGCCAGAAGAACTTGGTTAATCCTATAGATAGAACTTTCTTCCTGGAAGACTGGGAAAGTCGTGATAGTGGGAAAAAAGTAACCGTTCAGCAGCTATTTCAGCATAGCCAAGGCTCCTCTTGAGTACCATATTGAAGAGGCAAAAGTCGTGAGCTGCCAGAAGGTTAGATATTACCCAAGTGCAGCAACGCCTGCCGAACAGACTGCATCTCTGTTAAGAGTTGTCTGCTCTTTGATCTGGCTCAAAGGGATGTTATAATCCACGTAATATATCCACTGCATAATAGGTGACCTCGAAATCGTTAAGCCCTCCCGTTACAGTTATAAGACAATATTAGGGTGGCGGTATTGGGAACTATAGCAGCATCTCCGAGTTTCAAGATCGATGATCAGACTGGGTCAGATAGATCGTGCGATGTCTTATAAAACTAAGTTGGAATGATGAAACCCCTCTTAAACAGCTGCAGTCAGGTTGCTCCTCCAACTCCGCTTTGGAAAGGCTAGAGGAAGTGGTCAACAAGAAACACAAGTCCCCATCACAAAGCTTTTTATCCAAACTGATGAATTCTTCGCCATCTTCAACTCCTTCCATATGCAGATGAATGCATTGGAGCTAAAAAATAAGTGCGCTCACACACTAGAACCCGTCAAAACCGCCGAGTTATGGTGGATATGGTAGGAAAAGCAGCCCTCATTTATCACCACACGCTGGCAATATGGAGACACTCTTCGGCACTTTTTACTGACCTTTTGTTTGTCGTTTCCTGACCTAGCCTGCAACACGTGTCAGTATGCTTCTGTCACCTACCACGGTGTGTACTAACGTCAAGGTGCTGTCACCCTCTACAAGTGTCAAAATAAAGGTCTCACAGAGTTTTGGCCTTTAGGATAGTTTTAGAAATCATTTCTTTTGTGGAATCGAAGAAGTCGAGCTCTTCTTCTCATCACTGATGCGAAATTCTTAAGCCACAGGAGGCGAAAAGTCAGGTGGAAGACAATGACGGAGTGAGTGATTTTGCGCCACTGAACTTTTGCAGCGAGAAATTCCATGGTGTATAAGTAGTCATTTTAGAGGCTAACCTTTTCAATGGAGAGAAGGAGGAGGAGGAACGCACTTCACTCAAAATGGTTTGCTGCGGTGGATATTGGAATGGGTGCGTCCTTATCTTTTGTTCTTAAATATTTGCTCAATCAAAGAGGCAGTCTTAGCTACCAGATCATTTGATACCACCTTTGACTTGAATAACACGAGCACAGAAAAATTTGTTTCTTTTTAAATTAAACTGAAAAAATCTCAAGTTTCCTTTTTCCAACTGATGAAAGGAAATGCTACTTCTTTCTGTGTCATAGGAAACAACTTGATGTAGGGATGAATGACAACAGCTTTCTTTTCTCCCTTCCTGTTTTTTGATACGAATCAACAAGTCAAATGAAAAATTTTTATTAAAGAATTAATTCTCTCCTAAAGGGTGATTGAACACTTCCGCACCGAAAATGTTAACCACTTTCTTGCCCATTCCCGCTGTCCCTCCATCCGTTGCGGGCCCTGCTGTGGCTCCTTCGATCACAATTGGTGCCCGTGTGGAAGCGGTGGCTGTTGTGGTTTCCACGATCATGGTTGGTGCAGTGGGTGCTGTGGCAGTGGGTGTCATGGCGGTTTCCATGGTGGTTGTTGCGGTGGTGGATGTGGTGGCTTCTGTGGCTGTGGACCGTGTTGCTTCTAGGCCGTAACCGGCACGACTATCCTTGTTGTTGTTGTTGTTGTCGTTACTTGCAAAATAACACAATTTGGGTTCCAAGTCCGCCGCTTTTTTCTTCTTTGTTTTACTAAATTTTTACTCTTTTCTCGCCTTAGTGCATAGTATAAGCGGAGTTTACAGGAGTTACTTCATGGTAACTGGACAAGTTTGTTCAAGTAATCGACTTGGCAAACATTCCTCCTTTCTGGAAGACATCGGTGAGGTCGAAAAAAAAAGAATTGTAGTCACAGGCACCCTCCTTCTTATTATGAGGAAAAGTGGGCTAAATTCGATAGAGGATGCATAAATTCTTTACAACTTTTCGGGTATTTTCGAAGTAAATTTATGTCAATCGTTCAGAGTTGTTAGGTTAACTTTTGTTCTAGCAAAAAAGGCAATACAAATTTATTTAGTTAACTCGCAGATGAACACTGCTTTGGCACAAGAAATTGAAAGAGAACCTAATTAATAAAAAATGCTTAAGTGAATATGACTTTGCAGATTCTGGGGAGAGATGCTGTTGACAGCTGATGTCTACCTGACATTTTGAGTGATTTTGATAGTACATATTCAAGCCTCTTTTAAACGGGCTAAACTGAATAAATAGCTCTTTAACTTTTTTTCACGACTCCGGTTGAAACAATAAAAACACGGCAGAAGAGTCATCTCCCATAGCGGGGGAGGAAGAATATAGGACCTTCATGATTGAGAATTAGATAATAGTCATGCTGTATTTCATATTCTAGTATTTACCATGATACATGAATACAATTCAATGCCATCTTCACCCTACTGCATCTGCATCGTCCATGGATCCACCTCGTTGCCCCCCATCCTAGCTTCAGCACCTAGTTTTGTTGACTTTCCTATCACCTCCGCAACTTTGCTTCTCTGTCGCCACCACCGACCCCTCTGTTTCCATTGCATATGCCACACGAGTTCCACCGCTGCCACCAGCAGAGCTAGTAGAAGTCCACCCACGAGGATATGAAACACGCCTGCAACGTTGATCAGGGCTAAAGCATCTGCGGCTGATCTATCAGTATCCGCAGCAGAGGAGCATTGGCCTCGCTCAATCCACCACTTTTTGCGTAGATTGGCGAGCACCTGACTCTCGCGTAGACGCAAGACGGCGTCGCTTAGCACTTCACGCATCGGTGATCTGCGAGGCAGAGCGATACCGTAGCCGTAGTTGCCAAAAGCGCTACCCGCCATCATGGTATCGCAGGGCTCGCGATTGTTGACATACTCATTCATCACGGACTCTAGCACGAAAGCGTACTTGCCCTATGTTAAAGAACAAAATGAAACCGGCTCAAAATTTGTTAAAATTTCCCTTTATTTGTCCTTGGGTCAAAGGTAAATATCACGAGGATGATGCTACAGTATAATGATATTTATTTTGCTGGCGCACCAGAAATCACCGATATTTCATCCAATTGGTAAATAACAACTCCCCTTTAGATGATATGAGTTAGTCTCAAGAGTTATTTCTCTTCTAAAACTTTTCTCTACCGCTTCCCAATAAAATACATGAACAATGACTCGGAAAGAAATTGACAAATGGTGTGGAACTCTTACATTCTAATTCTAAAAAGCATTATTTTTAACTACATACTACCATTACGTGCTACCATCTCAAATTCTTTTACTTACATACAAATAGTAGTATATTCCTTCGCACCACAATTTTAACGAAAAAGTGGTAAATGGAAAAATTCAATGCACACTTAAATCACGTAACATTTAGTAAATGCTTTATCTATTATCTGCGTGACTTTTTTGGCCTAGGTATCCTCCCCAGACGCGGGCAATGTGATTAGGCGGCTTTAAGGTCAAGCGCAGTTAAACAGCTCGTTGATAAGCAAATCCGCTTCAGGCATTCCTATTTTTCCATTATTTCCTTTTCATCAAACTTTGTCAATAATTTGGTCTTAAAACTTCCCGATCCTTACTTGTGCCATTATCCTAGACGGGTGATTCTATTGTTAACCTCAAGGTCATAGTCAATTCGCACTCACCTTGGACGAGCGAACTCTATCCACTCCCTCCTCCAGATTGTTAGCTAGCGCGTGGGCGTTTCGTTTCATCCAGGCACCGAGTTGAGCAAATGGCTCTAATTTTGTGTTGAAAAAGAAATCTCTGGTGGAGCCCGACTTGAGCGATCCGTACTCCATGTCGGATTTGAGCAAATCGTTCCAACTGTTGATTGGAGGCACGCGAAGTGAGATAGTCAGAAAGGCAGCCAGGTTGGCTGTGTAAAAGGCAATGAGAATGAGGGTGACAAACCACCACACTGCAATCACTATACGAGTGCCAGGTGCCCGTGGAGAGAAATCTACCCCCTAGAGGACCAGGGAAAGGACGGAGAAAGAGTTGGGATATTTGTTTGCTTAAAACATTGCTTTTTTATTTAGCGACATCTTGTCAGAATTTATACAATACTTCAAAATATTAACCTTTATGCAATCATTCACAGTATATTTTGATCATGCATAGTAGGGACTTTTATTAATCAATTCTTGAGAAAAAGAAATTGGTATATCAGCTTACCTGTTGTACAAACGCGGCAAATGAAATCCACACCGAATTTCCCAAAGTAAATCGTCGATTGCAGTGCCGCCTCCCAGTCACTGGATCGGTTGTCACTTGCCACTCCGTAGGACTGATTCGGGCAATCACATAGAGGCCTAAACTCACCGTGATCCAAGCGCCAAATACTGCAAACCACACGGCATTTGAAAGGGGTCTGAGGAATGACAAACTGCCGGATTTTTGTTTCCCCGGTTTCTTGATAATCAAGGACAGCCCGAAGGCGAGGAATGGCTCCGAGAACTCCACAACCTGGGCTCTTAGGTAGTTCACTGTGAGTGGTGCCATCACCAAGTCGGCTGTGTTATTCAAAATCTCGCCAATCAGTCCATTCCACACCTGTAGTCGTCGAGTCTCCACTCGCCGGTCCACAAGATTACTTAGCGACCGCCTTGATAATACCTCCACACGCTGTGGTGGCATCTCTCCTATTTTCGTCCCAAAAATTCCATCGTAGACGATGTGGATGTCGTATTTGAAGCCAACGATCTTACTAATTTCCTCCAGGAGGTCTACACAGAACCCCTCGAACCCATCAATGCCGTGAGCCTCGGGAGCTCCAAGTTTTCGGGGCTTGGGTTGAACGAAGGGCTTAGACCAGATGGTAACCACACGGATGGTGCGGTTGTGGTAGTCAGCCAGACGCTGTCGATCAATGACAACAGAGGGATCAAAATCCTCCTCCCAGACTTGGGGAAGGCGTTCGCTGCCTGTAGAATCCCCACTTGGCTCTGGCGTAGTGTGGGGGTCTTTTGTGATGTGCGGAGGTTTGAAGGCCTCGAAATCAAGGTGGGTTGTCGAAGACCACTACAAGTAAAAAAGGGTTTAATGCGCCCCTTACTGAAGTTTTAAAGGTCATCAACGGACATTTTGCTTTGATACCAATACTTGTACTACCACTTGAAGACTAAAAAATGTAATGCATCTAAGGAAAGAAACATTATGGTTAGCTTTGTTTGACTTAACCAGTCAATTTGTGGTACATATGGGTGAAAACAGTTACCATATAGCGGTAACAAATGCATGTCACGTGTGTGACGCCATATTAGGTTAGGAAAACCAAAGCTTTACGCGGTTGAAACGTTAGTGTTAAATGTGCGAATCGAATTTTGTACAAAAGAAACACATGAACTAACTTTTATGTTACTCGACAGCCAGGTCTTCTGACACAACTTTTTTAAAACACAGGGCAGGAAATAAAATATTAATCTCCTTTACTGATTTGCATGCAACAAAATCCATGCTATGATTGTCAGCCCTATTTTAAGTAATGCCAACTTCTAACAACCAAAAAATACCACCAAGAACCAGTTTAGAGGATTCCAGAACCATAACATCATTCCTGTGACCAGATGTTTTGAAAGGACCCTTTCCTGACATTTTGACAGTTGTGGACGCAAGCCATTAACACTGTAACTGGTGCCAAAACCGCGCACTTTACACAACTCATAGGGTGACACTCAGCTAGATCCATTCAAGACGTAATGGCAAAGGTACCGTAACACATGTTTCATTAAAGGTGCCTTTTAGGGCGAGAAGCGGTCAGTAAATGTGACCCTCACGACTGAGCCGACGTGATGATTGAATCCCCTTCATTATCACTACTCAATAGGGGATGCGCTTGTCCAGTCTGTCTGTTCGTACAAGGGGTATGATGGCTGAGGTAGAAGAGGGAACCACCAAACCTACTGTAGTTTAAAAAACCAATTTTTTTAAATGAGTCACTGTACAAATCTAATCATAAAGGAAGCTTTATTCATTTGGAATAACATTAAGTAGACAAAGGGAGCCTTCGATGTTGTAAAATAACAATGTTACCAACTTTTGAATAAATTAATGCCCAGTAAATTAGAAGGCACCTGACAATATTAAGGCAAACAACTAAAAGGGAACAAAAGTGGACAGAACATGTCATTCTCGTAAATCTTGTATCACGCCTTTATCTTGATGATCAATCAGGAATTAAACTGTCATGTTCAACGTTAAACATTTATCAAGTCCCTTTTAAAAACATCGTCATGGTTGATTAACTCGTGGAAGAACTTATGGGTTTTTATTGGACAAATAATATTTAGGAAGTAAATGTTTGGAGAGGATTATTTTGCATTTATTGCAGAGCAAAACACTTTTTTTAGGGACACGTTTTTATTTTTGTCGCGTCTCAAGTAGCGCATTTGCCAGTCATGAAAAATTTGTTAAAATAGTTACGTAAGTCGGCCACATTTTGAGACGTTAAGACTAGACTTGTTTTGTAATGAGGACTAGAGTTGTGCTTGATTTCTTATTTAGTATAAGAAATTGGACAGATTAGAACGCAAAATACTTTTTAAACAAGCATAATAAACCACTTGGTGACTTTAAAGACTTGTACCAAAAGGTCTGTTGAGATGTTGAAATGGACCATACTACTTAAATACAATGTCCTTTTTCAGGATTTCTATTTTTAGATTCCTCTGCTAACATCCGCGTCCATGTCAAAGAACAGTTTTGTCTTAACTGCTTATTTGAATTGGTGCGTGGTTTGATTACTGTGATATAGCTTTCTAGCTCAGCTGCGTGGACTTCCATCCACACCCTGGTCTCTTCAGCTGCTCTATTTCAATGAATCTTTTTGCGCATTGGAACAACCTATTACGTCTTTGAGATCAACTCGGGACGCTGTACTGCCTTAGGTCAGTGTCAACGTCTAGGTTGGACCTCAAAGCCAAGTTTTGTTCTTCCTAGACCAATCAGTTATTTCCAAGTCTTCTATATAGAGTCCTATCATTGAAAAAATCTATTAAAAGCATCTTAGAACTAAAATGATCCTGTGTTATTCATTGTCAAGTGCTCCCCACTTCGGTGTAATGACGCTCGAGTCTGGGACAAGAGGGATCGGACTCATCCACGGTCGCTTAAAAGGTCCGGCTGTAGAGCTAATGCGGTATAAAATAAGGTGGCAAATAACCATTCTTAGCTCCTTAAAACCTATTTTATTTTCAGCTTATCTCGCGTTATTTTGGCAAAAGATTGCCTTTTGAATGCAAATTGCACGTTGAGGGAAATACGTTCAGTCGAAGTGGCTTAAAGACTGCAATAAAGATAGTACCCTAGCTACCGGTTGCAGTCCCACTGTGTCCATAGCTGACCACAGCACTAGCTCCCTCGCCTCCCGTTCCTCCACGCTGGTCCGCAAATCTCCCGTCAATCCACGCAGGCCTATGTCTCCACACCCATCATCAACGTCGACCGTCACAAAGTGCCTTCGCAGGTCCGCAATTACCCCCAGTCCGCGAACCTGGTAAGCTCCGTGCTGATACATTAGTCGACCGCCCAGGTAGCAGCTGGATCGTCCGCCCCCGTTTCTCTTACTGCTGCCGCCGCTTAATGAAGGCTGCTGACGCATCTGCAGCGCAGCTGCTGTGAGTTCGGCTAGTGAGGCGTTGGCCCGGTGGGGCTCCATTTGTTGGAGGCGGCAATGCAAGGTGGAGGTGAAGAGACCCACAGCATCGGCCATCAGAGCGGCGTGGTAGAAAGGTGGTGAGTTGGTAGTGGTGGTGGAGGCAATAGGCGGAAGGTGAGGAACAGTGGAACTGCGACTGTTCCAGTTGGTCCACTCAGCTGCGAATTGTTTCACATCGGCGCGCTAGTGAAGTACATAGTTAAAAATCTTTAGGGTGTTGATCAAGCATCAAATTTCCTTTATCCATTTTAATCTTTAAATTTGTTACGCCATCTTGAATACAAAGTGAAGTTTTCTACTGCTTAAAATAAACGAATCACCGCCTGGAGGATATAGTGTGTAAGTAGCATGCAATAAAAATTAGTAATTTAAATGTGATTTTAGCAGTAGTTTTATGGGGAAAAATAATTTTTTTGCTTTGCAAGACGATTGGTTGATACCTGAGGACTCGACCAATGTGGATGAGCCAGATGACAAGGCTCTTTTCCTATTAATGATGTAAAAATTCGATGCCCACCCTTAGTTGTTAACTTCTAAGCATAGAATAATAATTTAAATATCGCAAGACCCAAGTACCACATACTCCGGATCAACGCATTCACATAGCTGAACAATATCTTTTGTGGCATTTCGGACTATTCAAGCGGTAGTTGCCATTCAAAGATGGAACTCAAATTTGTAGAAGCAACCTGGCGTATCTCCATGGCTTTTGAAAATAAAAGCCTTTACAAAATGAAATGCTTCAATAATGCTTTAGAGCTGGGAAGAATGTTGAACCATTTGGATTCTAAACTCGCCTAACCAGAGGCCTCGTATTAAGTAGATAATCGAGGAAGTTCCAAGCGGCCTGTTTCAGTTGTTTGTTGCAAATAGTTGGGGTGTAGGAAAAGCATATGGGTGTTCCCACGCATTATGACGCATGGATGAGTAACAGTACATCCCTGCGGTGTTCTTTATTGCGCTATCTTCTATTTCCCCCTCTTTTTAAGATCGTATGCTATGCGATTTCACTTAAGCGTATCCTCAAGCCACATTACTTGAGCCCATCGCTTTCACAAACCTAGATTAACTCGAATCCGAGGTTGGCAAAGTTTCCCGTAACACTTGATGTATAGCATTTGGAGGAGATGCAATCTACCGTTGTGGAGCAACGCACCGTTCAAAATCAAACGGTTTAGGAGAATTTTGGTTGGAGTGACGTATCACCCAATGTTGGATGCATCAATTTCAGGAGGGAAGCGTCTCTACTCACGATCATGACTTTGCAATACTTTTTTCTACAACTTTTTACAGTTCTAAACATTTACACCTTCTCTCATCCAAAGGGGATTACTTCAATTAGTCGGAGACTTGGAATTTCGTTGTCTGACTGGATATTTGACTCTATATCGATGGTGATATCTTGCAAATCACTACCACTAACCTTAGACGCTATCGCCCTCCCAGTCGAAATAAATAAAACTAATGTTGTCTTAGAGAAATAGTCTGATTTAGAAAGATATATAGGTGCACTACAGATACGTTTCGGCGTAGCCATGGTAACGCCTCAATAAGCTGTTCGCTGTCTATTTGTCTCACACCGTTGCGTAAACCCATGTATGGAATTTGAATTTTTTTCTAAAAAAAATAAGCGCATTATGAGATGTACGTGGTTAAATTGATGATGTAAAGCAATGCCGCTCTATGTAGAATTGATTTGCTCCTCGTGCCATGATTAAGTCTTTCGAAGGTCACGCCCTTAGTAAAATGCACTAAAAGTCCTTTGTAGGTTTTTCTGACTAATAGCAGTCATCAGGTTGAAAAGAAACTAGTGAATTTGGCGTAATTTACGAAGGATTAAAACAACAAGTTAATCCCCTTTTCGTTAGCAAAAGTCCTTTCTTTTGAAGGAGGATATAATTGGATTTCGTCAGTAAAGAACTGCTTTTAATGTAAAGTGATACTTGTCAATGTTTCTGACAGTTAACCGATGGAATTTTTGATTCCGTTGGCAGATAAATGCAATACGGACAACCAGTCAGATCAAATCACTTATTGCCGATGCACAATAGGCTCCAAACTTTACCAGATCTAAGAGATTATAAGTAAAGCAAAAGTTCTTTTCCAGTGTTTAATAATGGGTATTTATATTTTTTCAAAAAGTCTGCAAGCGGAGGTTATTTACTTGAAATGTCAGAAGCATCAGTAAAAAACAACATCTAGTGTTTGAAGGCAAAGCCTCCATCATGTTTTAAATTACAAAACTATGATCGAACTAATGTTTGTAATTCCGGTTGCCATTTGTATCAAACATGTCTACATTTTAAATGCGAAGTTTTTAAAAACCATGTCTGTCTGATCAGTAAAAACTCCTGCCAAATAAATAATTAAGACAAAGTTTGATTTCATGTTGTTTAGGCTCCTGAACTTCGATTAACTCTATTTTGGCTGTTTCTAGATGAAAATTGCTACAATAGATTAAAATACAAGAATACACGAACAGATGTCACGAGTGAAAGCCGATTGTAACCAAAATAATTGTGACACGAGTGGTTTTAAATCACCTTGCTCGTTTTACAGCCCTAGAGTTTGAACTTGGTTGTGACACCAATGCTGCAAACATATGCGCAAGTCCATGTTTTTCTATTTTAAATCTGACATTGTAAAAATGCGAACTTGTTCCTCATAAATTCAAGAAAATATTTTAATCAAATTATGGGTACCAAACCTTTTCTCTTCTGCATGACAAAACCTGGACCATGTTCTGGGCCTGTAGTTATTGCCTTACTTTCATCACTTAAATTGGGATTCATTCTGCCAATTTGGCAGTGCAGATATTGGTTCCATTTCATATCACCATAAATATTCCTCACAGTGGTTGATGTTCCTTTGCGCCTCTTTTACAGTTGGCTTTTCCTATTTTACAGAAGTCGCATGAGGTCATTAAATCTGCAGTTGCTAAGATTTGCGGCAAAAACCTCATAGCATTAAAAAGGGACCTCTAATCCATTTCTCTGTTCCATTTCAGGCTAATATTTTATCTTAGAGAACCAGTGCTTTAAGGAGGAAAAGTGGTTCAAAATTTAATCTTGTCCGCTCTGGAACTAACGCACCATTTCCCTTTTTTTGCAACGATATCACATATCGTAGCACGAGTTTTGCAAATATATCCTTTCTTTATTAGCGTGGATTTTTTGTGTAAAGATGTTGAAAACCAAAAAAAAGTTTAGAAGTCTCACCTCTGGATCCATGAGTCTGTATCCGGCCAACTTAACTCCAGAGTAAATATAGTCCACCAGATCCGTGTCGGCCACATTAAGACTGGCAAATAGGAATTCATACTCGCCTCTGTTCATCCCCATCCTCGAAAACATCCGCATCAATTGGTTGGTCTCCACCACTCTCGAGTCGACTACTACCCGCCTTGTCACCCTTTTCTTCAGAGCGCCATCTAGCGCTACCAGCGATCCCTGCAACTCTCTTTCGTTCATCCCACGCACTCCTACGTAGTGCACTGTTACTTCTGTCAAACTCAAGTTACTTCCCCGCTCTTTTAACTCTCCCACCAATTGCCCCAACCTTCTAACACCTTCCATGCTCGTGGTGAGGTAGGCGAATGCCGTCCAGTTCTCATGTACCAGTACTTCCGCCAACGCTTCCTTTGTGGTAGGCATGAGGTTTCGGGTAAACACACCTCCCCTTCCATCAGCTGTCGTGATCAGAGGTATTTGGAGCGCTGCCGCCGTGTTGGTAAGTACCCGATTCACTTCCTCGTCAAACGCAAGTTCACTGACAAAGACGGCAAGAACATTGTCACTGACAAGGTCGCAGAACCGATCCATCACACGGAGGGCATCGTGAGGAGGGGTGAGAATACTCAACTTTGGGAGGAGGTAGAAAGGATTATGAGAATTTTTATTATACGCATAGACGGCAAAGGAGAAGGCACTTTCACCGACAGAGCCCGCCTCAAAGATGCCAGCTATTGGCACTTCTTGACGCCTGTCAGCTCTGGCAAGACAGAGTGCGGAGAGTGTGATGGTGATGGGGATGAAAATTTTCATATCTATGAAATGCGAAGAAACGTGGTTACGATAGCAGACTCGCTACCTAGCTCGTTGTGCGAGACGACTTTGCGTGCACACTGGCTATTGGTTAAGGGGATGAAGACCAGTGATCCCTCAATTGGGATTGGCTGTCCCACTGGTAGGATGAGCAGATGAGAGCTGGTGAGGATAAGTTGTGAAAAACAGTACATTGCCCAAAAGCTGTCTAAGTGAAGGTTGAGCGATTTAATGGCTGCTTTTTAAATCACAAAATCAGTGACTGGTCGTGAGAATTCGTGTGCACCATATTACCTCTGCTTGCAGAGCTCTAAGTTGAGACGTCTGAGTCTAGGAAGACCCCTTTTGTCCTATTTTTAAGGGGAGGCCAGTGTTTAAATGCCCATTCATCTCTGTAGAAATGGGTGGTGTTCGCTTGGCCACGAGGGTATTTTAGTCCGACTGTTTGCCACCAAAAGGGTACATTTAAGCAAACCTCTTTGACACTTGGACTAAAGGCATCAAAATTTTTGCTAGACAACATTTATCATCCAGATGAATTTGCGCACTACTTAATTTTCTGTTTGGCTAAAAAAACAGGCAAAAAGGCCTACTTTTCCTAGTACAAATAATTTGGGTTTTTTTGTCATCTACCTATCCCAGTTCTCCTTGAGCTATAGCCCTTTCAACAGGCACTTTGAGAGCATAAGACTTTAAAAATGCATTGAATGTAGCACCTCAACCCACTTTCTTAACTCGTTATTAGTCGAAGAACTAGAAGAGAACATACTACTTACTAATGTACAGTAGGGGTGGGGCGGTTACATGCACCTCCGCGAGGGTCATACAGCAGAGCCAACACTTGATTAAGGCGTTGTCATGGCTACAGGTACAAAGTATCCATAGTGCACCTGACTCTAGCTTGCATAATCAATCCTTCTGAATTAACTTTTTTCCAAGTAAGATTCAACGCTTTTTTTCCCATTCAGCTTGTTAACTCTCACCCAACTTGGGGCGAAAATATTTTCGCAGAAAGTTTATTTGCCTGCCCACTTTGCGTGTTAATTGGTGCAATTTCGTGGTAAGAGACGCTAAAACAATGAATTTGTTGCGTGCATAAATTAATTTTAGTCTTGTCTTAGTCCTCCTGCAGTGTTAAAGGCAGAAAGTGGAAGGGGTAGGAAGAAGGCGGGGGATGGGGCAATGCACACTCTCATTTGCCTATTTTGAGCTATTTGTCACCACTCTCAATTGCTCCTCGGAATAGGTAATTTGTACAAAGGAAGTGGGGTTTTATTTGTAGGCGCGAAAGTTGGAAATGAAATTTTGATTGTGGCGAAATGGTCTTACGCTTGCTTTTTCTTTTCTTCTCCTAAAACTCAACAGTCAACCCCAATCTGACAGTCATCAGTAAATGATCAAGCTCTGAAATCATCCAATTTAAAGTGTTGGGTTTCGTTTTACTCATCAGTCGTAAGTACTTAAAGCAAAATGCTTCTTCAAGACAGGGATGGCGATGGCCAACTTACTCGCCTTAAAAGCCATCGTGTTACGTGGAAAGTAAAGGAGCTCGTGGATGCGTCTTCTTGAAGGGTATTACTTTCATATTTAATGCCGTTTAAAAAGATGTTTATCTGCTTTGCAGAACTAGCTTTCTAATGCCTGTTAGATGTAACTGCGGTGATTGGTAGTAGTTGGTTTTACAAATGTCAACCACTCGCACTCCCTTATTATCGTATATATTTTGATATATCTTTAGCTGTCACCAGAAGAAACCTTTAAAATGACATTGCGTTACACGTTTATTACTGGCGTCGCAGATATGTGACGCCTGAGCCAGTGCAAAGCAATTACATCTGAAATGTGTTCCTATTAATTTATACTAACCAGTTGCACTATATCACCCCAATGCCTTTACATTTGGTCAACTGTGAAATTGACTGCACCAGTCTTTTCATTTCCCGAAGGTACTACTTGAGGTTTGGGCCTCAGGGTTCTGTCCAGTTCTTATAGCTAATGTCGCTTCCTATGCCTTCAGAAGATTTCCAGCGATGCTGCGGTAATTCTGTTTTAATATTTCTTCAGCCGTGTTCATCAATAAGCCTCAATAACAAAACTTTCTTAAACCAATTGAGAGATTTTAAAGTCTAGAATTTCTGGTATGCTGGTCAACACTCTTGGTGGTCCCATCTTCAGAGCTTAGCGCTAACAATGAGCACTTGGTACCTGCCTTGCCGATTAGGCATAGCTGGAAAACCTTCGCTTGTCTACTAAGCCTAGGGCATCTCAACAAGTGTTGGAGAAGAATGGCCTGACATGAATTGCTCTCACACTATTGTCCATAAATTTGCCAATTGATGCGGACGTAGACGAATCACCGCACTAATTACATAAAACATGACTGAAAGTGCTCGATACCATAATCACACTTTTGATTCCTTAAGAACAAAAATGAATGGCTGTCCCTCCTGCGTGTAAGCCACCCACCTTCTCCTGAGTGTTTTATCACCAGAATCCAATCAATCATTATACTGACTTCTAAGTGATGAATTTCCCTCCGATTGCTATGCAGCAAGCAGTGTATGAACCGCCTGCTTCGGTTAACATCACGTCCGCCGGATTTGTTGAGGTGACATTTTATGAGTTCCAAGTTCATGATAGGTGCAAACTACTCTACACCACAATGAAGAGTCTTCAATCAATGAACCGAGGCTTAAACCTAAACTTACGCTTTGTAATGTGTATATATAAATACTTGCGGGTGTGAGATGGACTACTGCAAGTTCTTCCGTTACGTCGAAGCTCGAGACATTCACCCGATGGGATTGGACAGGGTTAGGAATTTCTGAATATTTTTAGAATGGGGACGATTTTTTAGATTATTTAAACGAAATCTTAGGTAAACAAAGAATATAGAATCCTTGCTATTCTGACTGCCTTAGCAACCAAACACATTCATCCAAAACAAAAAACATATTCTCCTTACAATTTGCCGAATCCTTTGTTAACAGAATTCAGAAAAGAAATGCAAATTCTTGATGCGGATGACTTATTGGGGGCCAAAACAAAACAAACCATTATTACTAATTTGGAGGTATTTAGAGACATTAAATCCAGTTAGCACATCAGACTTATCGGTTGGATGAATCTTTGGGGTCATGAGCAAAAATACGCATATTCACGTAAATAATTTGTTAAAAATACCCCCTTTTCTTGTGATTAGGCTTAGAATAAAAAATTACAAGCAACTTGCTTGAAGAAATTCCTTTTATATGATTAATAAATACTTGTTTGGATAAATTGGAAGACTAGAGGTTTTTTCCCTAATAACATCCTACTTAAAGGGGAGAGGCATTCACATTCTCCCTCATGGCGTTGTAATGAAGAACAAGTCTTGAGTTTTCTAGATGCTTTTTCAGCGAAATTGCCCCTGGATTACTTTTTTTTAACTCAATTTGTTTCATCCATGCTGGAGAAGTTGAAAAAGTGGATAATTCTTTTCGATCACTCAAACTCAACTCTTGCAAGTAGTTTGCAGTGCCTTCGCAGTCCTCTATTACTAACCACCTTGTTCACGAAATAATTAAAAGTGACTCGTTTGAACTGGGTTGTCTGTTTTGACCTAGTTAAAACCTTGAATACCAGCAGGCACGTGAATCGGATTAGTGAAAAAAGATTATCAAAGCAGGTTGCACCAAACCACATTAAGCAGGGAGGGTGCCAGTTTGTGGTAAGCTAAAATGGATGCAGATGTAGCAATATGGTATTTTGTTTAACCCTGGGTTTTTAACAACGCGGGTACTTTAATACCTATACGTTGCAGCATGGTACTTCCGTGCTACTGTGTGTTAATAAGTAGAATGTTCCTCTGCTGCTACTTCAGTGTATTGAGAAATTGGCAGTTCCGACCACACCGTAGTTCTTTGCCAAATCTTCTTAAAACCAGTCAATGAAGCACAAAAAAATACTTGGTCCAATTTATTCATAAAAAATCAAAGTGTATCTTGCACTGATACGTTGGCAAACATCATAAAATTCCTCGCCTTTGCAGCACTGAAAGACGCACAGAAACTTATTTAATACCCAAACGTACTGCAATGACCACAAAATAAATAAATACTTAGGAAACAGCGGTAAATCGCCTCCAAGACATTGGGCCGTTCAGTAATGAGAAGTTGCCTTCTTTTCTTCAGGCAAAATGCGTCTTATTGCCTTTGTTCACATGGGAATGGAAGTATAAAAAAAGCAAAAAATATTCTCATTTCTCCTCGCTAGCATCTATGCTTTCATCAAAAATGCAGATAACAAATCCTGCGAAGCTAGACGTATTTCAAGGGCGAGCGAATACCTGGTGTGAAAAAACTAAAACAATTCATCTGGGTATCTTTGGTTAAAAGCCGTTTTTAGAGAGGTGGTAATAATAAATAAATGTCCCTGATCCCAGCAACAAAAATGCGGTATATACGCTTATTTTTTATGCTCAGAGCAGTTAACTTAAGTTGCAGGAAAATTAAGAAGTCAATCAGACAAGTCTTCTGTTCACGAAAATAGCCACGTTCAGTAGGTTGATGTGGCTTGAGTCAAATTTTTGCCCCTTCTCAGAAGCGTCTTCGACTATTGTAAGTCAGCGCACAAGTGTATTCCTCCCTCTTGAAAGTATAGTGCTGAATTATTGAATAACCCCGCGAATCACTGTGTCCATTTAACATATTCTTTTCCTTGGTGATCATATGCGATTTATTTACCTATTTAAAGAAAGCTGACATTACAAATCAAATTTACCTAAATAATACTTACAAAACCGGTCGTAGCTAAATAGTCTTGATAAACTTTTCTGAGCAAAAATTGACTATTGGTGAAGAATCACTTAAAATATCTTCTTCAAATTCCATTTCTGATTGCAGAAACCCTTCCTTTTTTCTAATTGGTCTCTCTACTGTTGAACCTATTTCAGTGGTGATCGTGTGATTATCCATTGTCAAGAAGTGATAATACCGACACGGAGAAAGGTAACAACAATGAGGTCATAGGTCCCTTCCTTCTTCCACCCCCAAATAAAGTGCGACGTCCCCTACGAATCAGTCTTGTGGCATAAGATCGTGAGCTTCTTCGAGGAAAGTGGGAGATTCCTTGCGCTGATCACCAGGCTTACTTAAACCTCATTTTCAATCAAATGGAAAGGAGTCCAACTCATGCAAAAAAAGAACCGCAAACAAACGCAAGACTGTCAATTTCCTCCGGTCCACAGCTCGCTCTTACAGTCAGCCAATATTCACAAACTACAAACCGAGACAAGTAGCAGATGGTGCAAACCATTCCAACTTTTAGACGGGTAAAGACTACCTGCGAATGACACCGATCCCCAACCTAATCAATACTTTAACAGAAGAGGTATTTCGACAAGACGGTAGGGATTGACAGGCCGGCAGGTAGATAGGTAAACGGATCGTAAGAAGAGCTGGTGGAGGGATGGGCGGGTTAATGGGGCACTGAAAGAATCCATTCAACAGATGCTGGCCATTTGGCGAGAAACGCCAATAGGGATACGAACAAGGGGGAGAGGATCCTATTGATTTCCTTGCCCACCTAAAATAAAAGGGGAAAGGTAGTCACGAACAGCAAGAATGTCCGAGGAAAGTGGTTCCAGTTCACACCAGTGAAATACCTCTTTGATGCCCTTTATACTATCTGTTCATCCTAGAATACCTCCCGAAATAATTCTACACTTAAATTGATGTGTCTGATCCCAATGACGGAATCATTCTTACTGATACTTCAGTGGAAATGAAGCTAGATTGTGTTCCTAACCCCGATAGGTACTGTGGCAGACACCAAGATCGACTTCAGACTAACCGAAGGAAGCGGATTCAAAGTCAGCCCATTCCTCATCTTGGTTGTTGGCACTCCCCCTATCACCATCTCCAGGAGCTGTTGTAGCCGCACCAATGACATTCCCAGCGTTGATTACACCACCAACAAGATGGGCGGGGATCGTCGCCGCAGCAGTCCACGGTGAGACTGCTGGGAGAGAGCGATCTGCAGTTAAGGTTTAAAAATCATTCAGGTCGGCAAACCTGAACAGTATATGCTTTTAGAGGAAGGATAGACTCACAAGTATCCACTGGCTTAACAAAGGGCAGACAACCATTGGTTGAGTTAAGGAACACCGGTGTCTGATTGGTTCGCTGCTGACGGATGGTTAGTGGGGATTGGAGGTCCTCCTCATCCGAGGAATTGCTACTGTTGCCAGTCTCTACATCACTATTCTCTGCCTCCACCTGCTTCACCTCTTTCTCATCTTCATCGATATCACTTCCACGACGACCTTCAAAGCTGACGGCGGATGGAGCCTCCTTGTCGGTATCGTCGTCAAAGGCGTCTTCGTTGGGGTCGAGATGGTGGGTCGTATCGGAGAGGTTACGTCCTCCAACGGAACCCAATCGGGATGTGCTAAAAAGAAAGGAGTTAGTGAACTTAAATGAGATTCTATGAGAGTTTCTAAACACCTACTGACGCTACTGTTTGCTTCCGGCTAAAACCACTACCAGCGATAAAAGTAGGTAGTCAAAGAAATGAGGACTGCCATGGAAAGAAAGAGCAAAAGGTCAACTTACAGCAATTGGAGGTCGGTACCGCCATGGAGGAGCTAAAAATGAGAGAAGAAAGCAATATGCAATACTTATTTGGCTACAATCAGACTCGGTCAGTTGGAGTGACAAATTAACGCAGAACCGACTGAACCTAACGACACCTCCGAGGTTATGCTTTAGGAAGCGTTAACAGAAATTAGCTCGGAGTGATTGAAAGCTTCCCCTTGAATCTCGACCATCAATCCACCACCACCGTTCAACTTTGCGACTAGTTACTGATTACTGAGGTAGTAAATGAGAGGCGTTTATTAGATGATTGAGGAGAGAGAAAGTATGTGCATATAGAGTCGAAATACTCCACTCCAATTTGAAAGGCAAACGTGGGAGAATGGGAGGGGTAGAGCAATTTTCAACAGCAAGATTAGAATGGAGAGGTGAGAAGGGAGAAGATAGGGAAATTTACAAGCACGGGCATTCGCCTGTTTTGATCTAGAATCAAGATAAAAAGTGGACAGATTAGTGCTTGTCCGTGTTCCGACGTAGTGTTCGCAACCAAGCAACAGCGGAAGCGATGACCTACGAAGATGCAAGGAAGAAGAATGGAAAACACATAGAAAGCCCTCTCAAACAAGTCATTTATCCATTTGATCCTATCTTGGCATTAAAATAAAGATCTCCAAAACGAAGGCTATCTAACAAAGCCTTTTTACCATGTAGCATAAGCTTGAAAATCACTTCTCGATACCAGAAAAGACTTTGTATTCGAGTGGATTCACACTAAAGGCATGCTCATTTTAAGTTGTTTGGAATATCTGAAGCATTTTGAAGTGCCATCTAAAAGAAGATCACGACGGGAGAAGGAGCAAATAAACGTAGCTGGGGATAACGAAGAAGGCCACAAAGTGTGCACCAAGAAGATTGTGTTTGTACCAGGGGGAAAATTTCACCTCACCATTTATGAAATGATAGTACTATTGTTTAGACAGATATAGAACTTCTACCACCTCAAACCTTTAGTGGTGGAGGTGGTGATGGCCAACTACCACCATCACGAGGAATAAAGAACGGAGAATAGAAGGGATCCATCAGGAGTAAGCAATGCAAGTAAATTTATTGCGCCGAAAGTGAAGCTGAAACCAGTCATCCACCCAATGTTCAATCAAGAATTGTTCCAACATTAGATGAACCAAAACAGCAGTCTTTTAAAAAGATTCGACCCTCCTACCCAAATCTTGGCACATCAATTTTGCTGGTTAATTAAACAAAGGAGAAGGAAGAGGAAGAAATGAGGAGGGGGAATCTCCGATTATTTTTAAATGGGATACCAAAGGGAATTAAAACCATTCTTACACTAAACAACTGAGCCATGTGGGAGTCGGGTTCACCAATGTGTAGAGCGCCAAGGGAGATGGGAGCCGGTTTCTCGAAACTCCGGTCGGCCTAGAAAAATGGAAAATACCTGATTAAAAAACGCCTAATTTCTCAAGGATCTGATAAACTGAAAGGTACCCATGGCAAACCTCTCGCTTAGGATACAAATTTTAAGATCCTGACGATCTTTTCCAAGATCGCCGGTCCTTCTATTGATTATACCAGGAGGCTAGAACCCAGCGCCATCTAAAAAAATTGCACATAATTTTGTTTTAGAAAAAAAGAGCTAGACAGGACAGGACTAGGCTTACCTTGGTGATGGTCTGTGCCTTGTTGATGGCGGCGAGATCACGTTGTACAAACACCTGCCAGTTGGTTAGCACTTCCAGCGGGAGGCCTAATGACAGAGAGGGGAGAGATGAAGAATTGGTGCATCAAAGGTTATACCCGAGACAAAAAGTTGCTGAATTCAGAAAGTGGGAGAGCTTTAGCATTAACTAATCAATCACCAGATCACAGATTAAGCAGTGACAAGTGGAGCATTGACATCTCCTCACAGTGGATCAATGGTGAAGAAGTCAAAGAACTATGCAATAAGCAATCAAATTCACGGTTCATAATCACTACTTGAATGCTGAACAATGATATATCAAATGTTCTTCTTTTCTGAAAAACCGAACTGCATAATTGCAGAAGGCTTCTCCAACTATTTCACTCGTTGACATAATCACCATTATAATGTGTCATTTACAATCCAATCGAAACGAGACATAAGCTAGCTGTGAGTGCCTCCCTTCCACGCAACATTTCACTCCTAGAGACAGACAAAAATAGCGCTGATCACCTCCGTTTCTATCCCACTTTTACTTCACTGTATCTATTCTATTCTGCACGTGATCACGTCATTGGCTAATGTCAAGGTTAAGCGATGAGGATTCAGTGGAATAATAGAGTAACAGGGAGGTGGAGGCGAGGGAGTATCTTTTCATCCCAAAATCTGACATGAAGTGTTGTACCGAACTGTGGAAGCCTTATTGAAAGTTCTTCTTAACATGCGAATCTCGAATTCAAAAAGCCAAACAATGAACTACCGACCTGCAAGAGACTCGGGAGTCGGGAAGCGCGAGTTCACGAGGTTTGCGATCTGCCACAGGTAGCCGGAGTAGCCTGGCTTCGGACGCATTTTGGAGGCCCGGCAAACCGATGAGGGCTCCTCGTTGTTTGGCCTTGAATCCGTAGGAGCAGACAATCCGAGAAGCAGAGCAGGTGAACACACAATGATTACATTCACACGATTGGTGGAATAAATGTAAGTTATCTCAAATAAAAATGGTCTCCTCTTGATGGGTTAGAACCAATGTCAAAGTAGGCTAAATGCATGTAAGAGATGCGTTTCATGAGGTCCATCTAAATAAAAATAAATTCCTATTTAAAGGTTTGGGATACTATTCTCCCCAGGGCCAGAATACAAAATCCAATTAGAAGTTTAGTAAAAACTTCATGAGGGAAATCAGACGATTTTTCACTAGTGCTCCCTTTGGAATACATTTTAATAAGGATTACCCCTAGAGGAGACTAATTCCAATGCGGTAGGTTAGTAACGCCGAGGGTATTAAGCAGAAGCAAGTTACCAGTGCATCACGTTTTTGGTTGAAGTGGGAAACACCGTCCACAGTGTCTCGATACAGTTGACCTAATGACTTTGGAAGAAATCATAACGAATCTTCATCCGAACCTCACTAAACCTAGGCAATCAATGTGAGCTAGTGTTTCTAAACACGCGACTATATGTAAAATACAATATCTAAATCAACAATTCAGTCAAGTATTCTAGAATTTCAACTTTAGAGGTGAGTCAGGAGCACGAAAGAACGCAAATAATGTAGGGGATAGGTCGACGCCTTTTAAGTAAGCAACCGAGCATAATGAGGAGATAATGTGCGTTGCAGTTCATTAGCCTTTCGTTCATTCACTCGTTAGCTCAACCCCCGAGATGGCAGAGAATCCATCCCACAACAAAAAACGGCTTGCAAATCCAGCTCTAATTGCGTGTTACCGCTTCTTTGTTGGCTTAAATCGCAAACTGATACGTAAATGGCAAGAAAAACCTTCCGTCATGAAATATGAGATCACCGATCGGACTAAGGGCAGAATTTTACGCCCCACATATCTTGATATGTCATTTTGGCTGATTTTGGAAACTATGGTGGTTGGTTGCCGTCAGCGTTATTGCAACTCCTGTTTAGCCCTAAAATTAGCTTATCTGTCACAATACAAATGCAAATTGAATGCCAGTTCGAGACACAATAAAGTTGTCAGATTGTAGTTTGAAAAGAGGAGATCTGGTCTTTAAGACGAAATATTCAAGGGGCATACTTGGGTTGAGATCAATACAATGAGTAATGCTGAGTCAACTTCCAAGCAAAATTGGAAGCAATGACCGTTTGGACAAAAGTAAACCATTTTAAACTCACTGATAAAGGAACTAAAAAAGGTGGTTTTCTGAAGGAGGTCAGAATAGCATCAACTTTTAAACTGGGGGGGGGGGGTTTCGGAAATGGAGACAGAGAAGAAATTTCATTTCAAGAGAATACTATAATCTTGAAAACAATTAAGAGACCAGAGTAGCGGACGACAGGTCAATCATTTATGTAATCTCCAACTACGAGTTTCACTGTTGAACAACATAGTTTGGGTGAGTAAAGTGTGTGGCAGATAAGCCTGAGCTGGAGCCAAGGTAGTGGCTCAATATGAAGTAAGCTGAAAGTGGTTGCAGTGGAGGGGAGCAATGGACACATCCATCTCAAAAATGGTGACTTCTAGTTACGGCAAACCATGAGATTCCATAGACCTACTTATTTATCGAAACCACACATCCCATATTTTAATGATCTACTACTGCAAGTAATCGGCAAAATAGACCTTAAATTTGAAAAAGGACTCACCGACCACCAGGAATGCAGGAGAGTCGAAGGATCCACTCAACGATGTGGCAGTCGTCAAGAAGGTGCCGTACCAAATAGTCAGGCAGTTGGACCTCCGCCCTGTTCTCGCCGCTCTCGGGATTATAATCTACAAAGAAAACAAAAGCATAACCCGTAAAAAGGAAATAGATGACGGAGGCAAGAATGACAAGTTTTTTAAAACTGTATAATAGGCTAAGTAAACCTTTTAAGCCTAAGGCAAATTAGGTCTCCAAGATGGATGGTATGCATGCCTATATCAAGACTTCCAACGTCTCCTGAAGAAGTGCAGAACGCCCCATTTATCAACAGCTCTTTTTACCTTTTGCTTATGCACAAATCAACTAAATAATCACTTTGAAATTAGAACACCTGTCGTAAGTTAGGTGATTCAGTGGAAACTGTCCTAGACGGAGCGGCTCTAGTGATAGACATCACGCTCTGATGCCTTAAATTGCCTTCAGGAGTAACCGAATCGCTTGAATTTCCCCACGATAGATGAAGGGAACTATTGCTAATCTGACCTTCTGGTCAGAACAAAGGCAAGTTCACTCAGGCCTTGGGGTCTAGTACGCACCCATTTACTGCAACATGCAGTCAAGAGTGGTTTCAGCAATTGACAAGTTGACAAATGTCACCAAGATGCATACGCTTAGTGTGTAAACTGTCGAGCGCGCACAGAAGTTGGGAGCGGTTTCTTGTAATGAAGTAATCATAAACATAACCAGTCAATTGTAATCCTTCTGCAGCAAGACACAAGAGTGGCATACCGCCCTTTCACACAATTTACCCCTAGGAGACGAGACATGGTAATGGGGAAAGATTTGAAGTCAACATCACTTAAAGAGGCACTAAATCTCCTCACTCCTTAAACAAAACTTCACAGACTTAACATAGAGCTCATAAAATGCCCTTTTCGGTATAACCGAACTTCTTGCACAAAAATTTAACAAGGCTAAAATTACATTTGCGTCTAAACCTTCCGCCCTTATACCGTTAGGCCTAAAAAGGAACTTATTCATGTTGCCAGTCGACTAATGATTCATCAAATAGGTGGAAAATAGGTTCTCTTTGGGGTTTCTTAAATCTACTTTTCATGCCTTAAGAAATACTGGTTAAGGGGGATGGAATTTTGGCGGTGATTTTAAAGGATTACGGATACTCTTTCAGCTACCATTGCTCAAAGATAAAAAAAATCAACGTAAGGCAGCTACTACAACAAATACTTTTTTCGAGGAAAAAGGAGAGCTATTATAACGTTATGCCATTTAAGTACTATGTAAAACTTGATTTCAGCTATTGCAAACGATGGGGAGGATAGCATATTAAAAAGTGAAGTTATTTCCAAGTTCCTCGCTTCACTGAAGTCTTTGTCTGTCTCCTAGCTGATGAACAACTTCAAATCGGCCTCAGGAGAAGCTAATCTACTCCGCTGAAATTGAGAGAAAAAGGTTGCAAGCTTTTCGGCGCAACCCACTTCGACGACAATTTGTTGTGATTTGTAGAAACCTGTAAGGCGTATGCATCATACAGCATAGGCATGTCTCAGTTTACCAGCCAGGGTGCTTTTTACTGCACCTTTTAATGCCTTCTCGTTTATTTCAACTTCACTGACTATAAAACATAGTTTCAACCTAATGGATGTGGTTCGGGATTGCCCCCTCTAAAAAACAATCAACCACTCAGTGTGTGGGGCATCAAGGACTTCTTCTTCTTGGTAATGAAGAATTACGTGGAGAATAACGTGTCAAGAACTTTCAGTAATGTTTAACTTGGGAGAGAAAAATTACGTTTTTGGATGAAACCCCTAACCTCTGTATTCTTCTAAGAGACCTCCAAGTGCCACCAATTAGCATTAGAAAATCACATGCAAAATGGACAGGCTGGGAGTAAAAGCAAAACATTTCACGAAAGTAAAATTTACAAAAAATGTGCGATAGTTGGGAAAGGATTCAAGGTTGTAACGCCTACTATTCTAAAAAGCAAAACAATTTAATGAGTCTCCTCCAGATTAAAAAAGATTCAGGCGTCATTATTAAAGGGGAGAAAATCAAGGATAATGTCTCTATTGCACAATCACCTCAGTTAAAAAGGAGGACCTTCGCAATGTCGACATGCTCGAGATACCATCTCATTCCAATTTTAGCCAAATGATGAGGACGATAGTGGGTTGAGAAAAAAGTAAACGAATCCAAAACCTCACTGTTTCCTTATAATCAGTGGCGAGAGGTGCATTTTCCAGAAAGAGCACAAATCTGGGGGAAGTTTACAATGCTGCTCTTAAATAAAAGCAGTGAACGTCGTGAATCCTTTATAAGGACTTGAATGAACATTTCAGGGCGAAATCTGCGCCTCTCTGGGATAGACGCCACTTAAAGCACATAACAGTAGGTGAATGCAAGAAGTTTTTGTAATCAGAAATTAACTGAAGCTTTTAGAAATATTTTATTCATCGAGAGAATCATCACTGGAACCACTGACTCCTCCCTTTCCAGCAAGACACAAACTAGCTACGAATCTCACTTCGTCCATACAATGTTATGCGTCTAGAAGATAAAAAGCCCTAGCCTCAAGCGCATCCGTTTCTAGCCCAATTAAGTTGCCCGAATAGGTACTATCAAGATGAGGTGGTAACCATAACTAAAAAGGTAGCAGAGCAGCAAGTTCGCCCTTCACTGCCCCCACCCGAATATTGATGAAATTTCTCAGAAGCTACCATAGCTCTGGAGTCGTAATTAACTACGTAAAGCGGTTAAACTCCAACAACATCCACCGGGTTCAGCTGACCTTTTACGACATGAAGGTTGAAAGTAAGAGGGGAGTGCAGAATACAAATGAAGAGCGCCATAACGGCAGACGGATGGCCACTTATGCTCCGTACTGCATACAAATAGGCAGCTGGATGCATTTTTGAAAAGTGTGAAGTCAAATTTCTACTGAGGTTGACAAACAATTATTTCACTCCTTGCATATTGAAGTACTAATTTAGTGGATAAAATTCGAAGGAACATGGCCAACGACGCCAAGTTGTCACATTCTGTCGGGAGGAGAGGCCATGTCGCGAAGTGAGCCACCATGGCTGATCAGCTTTTTGACCGGTGGTCAATTTACATGACATTGAGATGAATTAGTATTTCTAGGAGGAGTTAAACACTTTGAATGCCTTGAAATGAAGCATAAACAGCAGGCTTGGAGTGCATTTCGTCGGCTAGAGACCAAAGTCATTCTACTTTTTGCTCCTACGCGAAAAAGTATATCTAACCGACGAGAAGTCTTCAAGATCGTGATCTTCCCTATGGAATTTGCTTAGTGGAATTATTTTTTCCTTCGTTGCTCCATCCGAACTTTAGTAATTTTAAGGGAAAAAAGATTCCGTCCTCATCTACAGGACAATACTTTTTCCAAACAGGAGGAATTTTCAAAGAAGGTGTTTTAAACCATACCCATCCGCCAACACTGATTAGTTGCGTCCTCGTGCAAAAAAAACTTGGTCTCTAAGGCAACAATGCATCAGAGAAAAGCCTAAGGACCTTCAGGGTCACCACTACAGTGATATTACCACGATCAAAGTACAAGTCCTATCGAATTCATAGAATTGAGTACAACATGGTGCACAAATTGGAGGAAGACTTTGAGTGTACCGACTGTTCTGGAGCGCCTACCATTCAACTCCTTAGTAGATGGCATCTAGATCTTTAGAAAGCAGAAATAAATTGGTCAGAACGGGCTCACCGACATTTATTTGTCTGGATACCTCAAAAGAAATTTGTCAAATTTGAACACACAATCAACCCACATACTACAGTAAGGTTCAAGATCATAAAGAAAAAGAGGAGGCGATGCTTAGCATACCTTTGGACCCTTTTGACGGCTATTTTATTCCCTTATTTCGAGTCTCTAGTCGATTTTAACGCTACCCATAAATCTAGGGCTCTTGAGATGTTCATAGAAGCTAGGTGTCGTGTCTGCCTAGCTATCACAACCAGACAGTTATAAATAAATAGAAGCTAAAAAATAACAGCCCAAAAGTCAATTTTTAGAATAAGAAAGACCCAATAGTGTCCTGTATAAAGTATTTCTAGGTTGGGAATATTTTTTGAAAGAAAGGAGGCCCGTAAAATGACACTTTTTCACTGACTTTTTTAAACTATGATCGACTAGAACTTAGCCGTCCGTCATGAAGAGGTAGAAACTACGACAACCATACAATTGGTTAATACATGATAAGTATGCCCAAAACCAAAAAAGGAGGAGCTACTGGATCCTACCTTCAGTTTTAGGACTATCCACATCAGATTTAGTGGTATTCAACTCGCCCGCCGCCTTTGTTGTCGCGGCTGACGCCTTCCTCGACGATGACTGTGAGGGGGAAGAAGGAGGAGGCGAGAGGAGGTGGGTAAATAGCATAGCGACTGCTTTTTGGAGGAGGGAGTTGAAAGCATACGTCTCAAAGAGGCGCTACAATCGATGACGTACAAAAGAAAAGGTCACTAAAGATTCCCCTCAGTTTTCCCAGTTACTATTGCGAGGATGTGCATTATTCTCCCCCTACTTCGAGCATGTCTCGTTTCCGCCGTACCCATTACAGTACTGTCACATCACACCATCACAACAGACCAGCAAACAGGAGCACAGATAACAAAAGTGGGAAGAACACGCCAGCCCTCGAGCAATTTCACTTACAAGACTACTAGGATACTTGCAGTAGATAATTTACCATCAGAAAAGGCAGAAAGTGTTCTTGACAAAGGGCCTTTTTTAATGCATCGCCTTCATCCCCCCCGCGACTTTCTTCATCCCGGCTTGGACGAAGTTGAGGAAGAGTGGAGATAAGGTTCACGATTGCAAGACGGCCCTTTCCCAGTGGAGGGTTCAGTACACCCACGGTGGTTGGCACCACGGAGTAATTCTGTTGCTGCATGGCGAAATGAAAAAAAAATTAGTTACTCTACCTCCGAAAAATGGGTCTACACCTACCGAGGAGACAATAACACTGTTTGACTGGAGGAGACTGTACAGTTTGGAAAGGCGTGGAATGACCACAGTGGAGGCCAATGCTTCCACCCGCCTAGTCCGCGTCTTCAGGAGGGGACAGTTGGCCTTGCTAATGAGGGGATTCATGAAATTGGGCATTTGGGTATTGAGAAAAGTGCCCAAAGGAATGTCGTTGTACTCGTCAGCCGCACTATAGGGCATACCATTGGGGCTGGAAGGTAGAAAATGCAGCCATGAATTAATGTCTTTCCAGTCCTCTTAAGTAGCAAAGTGAAGTGTTCGAAGGAGGCTACTCACGACTTAGCCTTGTCCACACAGGCGAGGAATACTTCAATAGCGGAGTTCCGACAAGCGGCGGAAGAGGACTCGTCTGCAATGATGTCCAACACCCGAGACAGAAACGCCCGACTGAAATGACGAAATGGGAGAATCTATTTTAGCACCTTCCCTTCATGAGCGAGGCCAGCGCAAACGAGTTGTGAAATAAATCGGCTGTCGAATTCAAGCTTTATCATTTTATTGAGGCGGCAAAAGCAAAAAAGAAGCTAATTACATTATAAGCGGAGAGAAGGCAGCTAAATACACAATAAATGGGTTCCTAACTTGGCAGCTGCTCAGTAAAAGCACTGAGTGCTACCGTGATGATACTACATGCAAGGGTAAGTAGCTTGTCGCATTACATTGATTGTCAAGGCACAAGTTGGGGACAAGGTGACTCCCGACACGGCGGGTCAAGTGCCTGCACGCACATTGAACGGCCTTTAGTGACAACCAAAGGCCCATAATTCGAACCCACGAGCAACTACTCGTACAACAGACTTCAAGAGCAGCAGGTGTGTGATAAGAGACCTCACTACTCAGAAGTTAAGACGCTGGCGGTTCCCAGCCTACAGCCTTAGTAATTATTTCAGTGGACATTTGGCACGTGCAACACCCGAGCCTAGGTTGCTGACTGCACGAGGGGCGAAAGCGTCCATGGCAACGACAACCACGGTCTCTCACTAACATTTTTAAAATCAATAATTTAGCGCACATTGAACAATCTGTGATGGTTAATGCCCTGGAATCAACGCAGTCATGAGATTAGGGAGGGTAACCCATAAGTTATAAAACCTTAATAATACAATAGTTTGGCAACTAGGTACCTAAACATCGGTCAATTTAAATTCAAGGCGACATTCACGAGGAACAGGCAAGCTGAGCAAGAAAGAGTGCAACAAGCTTACTTCTGAATAAAGGCTCCATATATGGTTCGATAGGACTTCGCACTTTCCGTGAGTACCTAATAGCGCATCCTTTCCAGAAATTAGGTGTTTTGGTTGTCATAGCGAGGACAATTACGTACCAAAACAAGAATATTGCGCCAATAGTTCAAACTCAATTCGACTTTACTTTTACAAGGGCTTCATTACATGTGCAGAGTAATTCAAAAATACCCGTGAGATAGACTGTGAAATCAGAGAAAGACTCCTCTTTCCAACAACCCCAGTCCTTCAGCTGAATGCCTGATGGGATTTCAGGGCAACATCAAGAGTTTAAATATTGCTTGCTGATTCAGTTACCAGTTCTGAAACAGCCAATAAAGTTTGGGGAGCCGAAGAATGGGTGACTAAGTGACCGATCACTAGAAAGATACATTTAAAGGTAGCTGAATCACAAATGCAGCTGCTGAAAGAAATCCATTCATCCGCCCATCCCTTACGGTGAGGCGTGAAGTAGCCGAATGCCACACCTTCCGTTTATTAAACTGTCGTTAAATATTTCAGTACCTTCAATGAAAAGTTAGTTAGAGCTCCGGAAAATAATGACAATCATGCCATGGTGCATTGTTGCCACGACACCGAATATCATTAATCGATTCTACCAATTCATATGCTGCTTAAAAACCAAAGAAATGTAATTGCCTTCAGAGCAAAAAAAACATCTTCCATCTATTAAAGACCACACTTCCCACATTTGTGGCGTCGGTCCCAGATGAGTGAAAAATCAGGGCTTCACATGCCTTTGACACACAGGTAAAAAGGGGACTAAGAGTATGCCTTCCTTAACGGTCTCTGCTTTTAGACTGTGATTTAATAAAGCAAAGGATTACGTATTTTATAGCCTACTATTGCTTCTACTACTACTACACGCACGCGATACGTGATGTCTAGATAGTAAATCTTGAAGTGCTGATACGGGTGGGGCAATAAAACATTTGTCAAAAACAATAGTCCTATTGAATAACGGTCTAGAGACGTAAAATATGTTCGACGCACCTTTCAAAGACATCCAGGAGGGCGAGAGACTTTGCCAGTAGTAAGGTTTCGGATCTCTCATTCTCGGTAGTGTTGGCAAACGTGGTCGTCGTCTTCGTTGCGACTTCCTCCTCCTGTTTCTCCGGAGCGTTGAATGCAACGTGGTTGCGGTAGATACTAACCAACTCGACTAGACAGCGTGCCGCAGATTCCTGACGCTAAAATTGACAAAAAAACGAAAGAAGGCTAATTAATTACGTTTCGATTCTGTGAATCGTCCACGACTGGAATCACTATCACGGTTATGAGTTCACTCGCAACGTACTGTTGAAGACGTAGAAGTGAAATAGGGAAATTCGATCATTTATCCATTTGATCAACCAGGACCTCAGTTACAGCTAAGGACAGGACTGGCCTATTCTTACGTGGGGTCCCTCCATCATTCGTCCGAGGCGACAAAATGGAGCAACGATGCTACATCCATGTCTATTTCAAAAGGATGAGAGCAAATAAAATTTCATCAGTCGGATACTACCTCGAAAAGGCATGTAAGCAAAACACTTTCTGTGAATGGTAAGATCTATAGATTCTTGCGGTAAAAGGGCTATCGAAATCAGGTCTACCTATAGAAACTACTAAAAAGCAACCAGTAATGGAGCAACACCGAATATGAACGAATTGGGAGCCTCCACAAAGGAAGTGCTTGCGGGAAGGACATACAAAAATCAACTCCTCTTCGAGATCTGAAGCACTGACACCACCCTTGAAGGTAAGAAGCCAAGAAGAACTCAGAGACATGGCTAAACGCCATTAAAGTGTCAACTGAACGAAAGAAACTTCAATGAGGCCTCGTCCGCATGGACTTACACTTAAGCAAAAAATTCATACGAAAAGCAATTGACCCACTATGGAACGTCATCTAGGCCAGAGAAGTAAAACAAACTTGAAAATCTTCTGATGACTACGAAAGAACGAGGTACGACCTGATAAACAGTAGTGACTACGCCTTCAACCACTATGTATTAGTCGAAGCAGAAGAGAGACAATGGAGAGCTTCGGGAACGATGGTTAAAAGAGAAAGGCTGCGCACCAGAAATAATATCCGACAGCTTGACCACCATATTAGTGATATAAGGCTTAGCTCATGCCTCCCATGCGACCAGACGGGACATCTGGACACCATTTCTCCAGCCAATTACAGACCAGTGTCAAGCCCGCTAAGGTACAAATGACCCCAACGTTCACAATGGGGGCATCAACATTCAAGTAGCGGAGAATGAGAAAATCTGAAAAAGATGCATGACTGTCTATAGTCACCTTCCGTGAAAAAGTAATCAAGCCAAAGTCAGAGTATTTGTAGTAGTTAAATGAAGCGAACCTCACCGACTCCCAAACTGATCAAATCTGGAAGCATACAGTTATCCAACAACAACAACAACACCTCAATTTAAAGAGGTGCATATTAAACACCCAAATAAACTACTATTCCATCTGGGAGTAAATTTCCACCGCTAAAAGAAAGCGCATGAACCTCGGGCTATTTATACCCTAGACAGACGTCGTAGCGCACTGCCTCCAAACCACCTTTCCCAACACTCTTTCCCTCCCTCTCGCCCGCTCGGTCACTCAGCTACGACCGATCGTCACATTTTTATTAATTGTGACTCAGACAGTCAACGGAGCAGTTGGAAGCATGCAATTCGATGACCTTACTATGAACAGGTGCCTACTTCACAGGTTAATGTAGCAAAGCGCCAAACTTTACTTGAACTGGCTGGAAAACACTAGGAGGAAAGAGCGGAACTGAGGAACAAAAAAAAGGTATTTCGGACTTGTGTCTTAACCAATGGTAGTGGATAGGTAAATGTGGAGGTGTTTCTCAGAGAAAGATTACTAGAAAGGTGGGATAAGTGGTATTGTTAGAGCTATCGTTGGGGCTCCCGATTATTCAAAGATTCAAGAGGTGAAAGACCTTCGATCAGCAATTGAAAGGATACAAGGATACAAGCCGCCCAGCTTCTTCGCACCGAACTGCATAACAATCAAGTAAGTAAGGTTTTTGTGGTCAAAACTAAGTGACTACAGAGAGCTTCTTAAAGCAGTCAATTCGTTGAAATAAGCACCATTATAATCTGCGTACAATTCCTTTCCAAGCTTACTGCCACATCAGTTTCTATCTCACTTTTCCCCGTGATTATCCGGTGTCGACAGGTAAAGTTGATAACCACTTGGGGAAGTAGCATTAGAGAAGTACTAGAATGAGGTAAAGTAGCACCTCTCTCTTCACTCCATAAGAGATCATTTCAGGAGTAAGTTTTGCGGCAATAGGAGGTCTTGTGTCATCTTGTAGGGACACCACCTTCTTATTGACAACCGACTGTGCCTTCCCTTTTCTAAAAAGCCTTTGTATTGGTGCATCTTTGAGTTGTGCCGAGCAAACCGGTCTCAGCCGTAATGTTGCGTTCAGCAGGAAGGGAACAGTTATGACTGCAACGTATCACAAACAATTCAAGAATAAATATTTTAAAGATAAAGAGGTGCCCTAGGTGCTCTGTTTAGGAGCTGTCACTGTTGAGTTTATCTGCCTAATGAACGTCAAAAAAAAGTGGAAAATCCATTTCTCATCTCAATGCAGTCACTCAGCGAACAGTGAAATGCACATGTTTGAAAAACGTTAAAGAAGGGAAAAACACACTGGTAGCTCTTAAGGCTTGTTTTCGCCTACTAATGCATATGCCACTCATTTACAGAGGAACTGAAGAGGGTGTAAACAAACCGTTCTATCACTCACGTCACGTTAAGCACTACCGCAATTCCTCGACATTTTAATTGTGAATTATTGTAATCACGATAGCCTTCATGAGCGTGATGCTCTGCTACTGTAGATCACACCTTACCCAAGTCTGATGAAAAGCATCTATACCTCTATAACCGAGCTCAACTCAGTTCATAAAGCACACAATTTCGAACTACATTCAAAAGTAAAGAAGCACAGAGCACAAACGAAGGGGAGCCATAGGAAAATAAACAATTACATGTAATTTACAAGTCCCTGCATATTATAACAAGTCATCGCGGTGATCTGCATCCAGAACTGCACGAAACTGTCTGGTCATTCAGTACACATTCCACTTGTGGAAATGAATAGACTTTTACCACTTGTTACTACCGCTTTTCTATGGGTAAAACAAAAGCACGAATTGTAGACAATTTACCTAAAATAGGTTCTTTTCCCTAGACGAGTATTCGTCCTTTATCAAATAGGTAGAACACTTAACTCTCGGAACATCAAAAATGACAAGTAGGCATCAATCTTGGGCTGCCAAGATTTGTAACTTGGGTTAATTCAATACCTCATTACTTCGGGTCCACGGTGCAGCTGAATTCACATTTCTCTTAAAAAGCAGTAACATGTAAGAATAAAAACATTCCGCCCTATCTTTAGTTGGAAAAGAAGGAAACTCCAAAGCAATTGGCTCTGGTAAGGCCATAGTATGTTCCATTAAAGGACAATCACGCACACCAATAAGGGGAAAAATAACTAGCCCCCCAAACTTGTTAGTTTCAACCTGCCTCCTGTTTGAAGTTACACATCCAATGCCAAAAAAGCGGAATACCCAAAAGACAACCTAAACAAAACCTTGAGGGAAAGAAAACGTTGTGCCTTAAGAGAGGCTACTTCTCAGAAAAATACTTCATGACTTGACACCTCAGTGAATCACCACATTCTCGCATTGAAGACCTTGGCACAAGCCACATCATAACTTCAACAAGGCAACCAGCACAAGTGGAATTTGTTCAACACTTTCACTACCAGTGTCACACGCACACCTAATGGTGTGTCGCAAGTAGATGGGTCAAGATTGATATAATAAAAACTACACGTAGAATGCCTTTGATCTGAAAATAATTACGTCCATCTAGATTTAAGAAGCAGTTGAGGTCAACAAAAGACCACTGCAACAGGTGCCGTATGAGAATTGCAAAACATCCACACTGCGATGGTCACTTTTCCCCTGACTCGAGCAGTGAATAGACTTAAAGGATATTCAAAACTCCACAACATGCAAGACGAGACAAAAGCTTCCTCGTACACTGTCAGTGAGACATCACCGCTGCCAACTACTGAGAGCAAATCGATCCCCGTAGTGGACGTTACCTGAAATCTCACCGATACTCAAACTGTTATCATTTGAGAGGGCAACTGCTCAACGGTCTTTTCAATTTATAACAAAAGAAGGACGTAACAGCATAAGAAATAGACTAGAAAAATGTTAAAACCGTAAGCTTGGCGGACCCTGGGGGTAGTTATGCACGTCGCGCCGGCTCTTATTCCCCTTAGCACTTTCTGTCTAAGTCGGAAAAGATGCATCGGTTGAAAATTTGCAAACTGATTTGAGTAAAAGATGATTAATTCAAAAGCTTATCAAAATAACCTTTGAAGATTTTCCGATTGCATCGAACCATTCGACCAAAATAGTCGACTAATTGAGAGTGGTAAAGAAACAATTCTTTAAACTGCTCCAGATAAATAAGAACTCACCTCTGGCGTTTCATTGGGCGAAAGGATATCCAGGAGCTGAGAGATGATGTCACGGTCGAGGAACCACTAAAGTTGAGACAAAAATGAGCAAAGGGGGAGAAAGTCAACGATGCAAGGGTAGGAGAAAACTGCCTCCTTAAGATAGCATGGAGTTGATTTGTGTAAATAAAATAGAATAATTCTCATGAGGAGAGAAAACATTGTCCACCAAATCCTTAAAATCGGGGGGGGTGGGTGGGGGGTAGAATTCAATCGTGATTATGCACGGTACTTTTGGGACAGGAATACTACTTATTAAGTTATTCAGCAACCCGACAATAATGAATGACACCCGTGGCATTCATAGATGATCAAAATGTAGTGACAAACCAAAAGGATTTTGACAAAGAACACTAAGGGACAAGGAAACACAATAGTCAGCAAACCTTCAGAAAGGAGGTTCCAGCGATTTAGCTCCTTTTTTCTGATGGAAAGCAGTCAAATAAGACGCATTTCATTACTTCGTACATGAGCATGAAAGATGTCAGTTTAGCAATGGAAACACCAAAGTTAATCAAGTGTGTTAATGTATATTTGAGAGGTTGAACCATCACCAGCAGAATTGATCAGCTGTTAAGTTGTCAAATCCTCCAATAAGCGGAAACCGGTAGTGACCTTAAAAGCATACAAAGTGGAAATGACCTATCCCGTGCTTTCAAAAACGGCTGTCAGAAACCGGAGAGACCCATTTGATGATAAGTTCACGCGATGACAAAAACTTGTATGAAAGAGCATGTGAATCTAAGCCATGGTAGAGATAGGCAAGAGCGAAGTTGGATAGGGCAATAAATTTTGACTACTCACAATTCTTCGTCAATCCTCCTCGCAAATGGGAATGAACAACTATTCACGAGGATTTGCCTCCGTCAACTGTTGGCAACTTGGATAGTGAAGCTACCTTTCGTATGATGGGGGATAGAGATAGGAAGAAGGTATTTTAGATGCTCGAAGCGTTTTGTTTTACATTTGGAAGGTTACGATGCCAAGAAGACTGGCGATCTTGACTGATTCTGGGTTTGGAAACTGCCAACAATTTTAGCTGCGTACAAAAAGGATAGAACTGGCACAACGAAGGTTTACAGTAACTGCACTGTATGGAGGAATGGGAATAGGGTTCGGTTGTTAAAAAACAAGGAAAAGTATATGTGAGTGATCACTATTAACAAAATGCGTCCCTCACAGAAAAAGTGCCGACAAGTTCATTAGCACCGAGTGA